CCAACGGCGGCGGCGGAGGAGGGGTCTATTCTTCGGTCTCCCGCCCGCCCCTCACCCTGGTCAGCTGCTGCCGGATGATCTGCTTCAGCTCCGAGGCTTTCTCCGGAGGCAGCGCCATGGCGAGCCCAGAGCGGGGCAACTCCTTCGGGACACGCGCCCTGCCCGGTGCCCAGCCCCGGGCCCGTCCTCTCTCATGAACCCAATGCGGGGCTCCTGGGACTGCCTCCTCTCACCCCGCCCCACCCACCACGCTCAGCGGCCGCGCGCTCCCTTCCCCCCGCCCCCGCCGCCGCCGCCAACCGCTTTTCGAACGGGCGCCCAACTCGGGCGCGAGGCTGCCTGACTCAGCCGCCTGATGGAAACTCCGACCCTCCAGGCGCCCCCCCGGAGCAATGAGCTGCTGGTAGCAGTTACCGATACGTGACAGATTGTAAGAAACTGCTATTGTAAAAAAAAAAACAAACACCTGCTACCTGCGGCAGCAAAAGTTTGCAGACAGCAGTTTGTCCCTTTGCTCGTGGCAGGACGAAGTATTATCCAAACCGGTGGTTCTCAAACTTCAACAACCCGCGACCCTCCTTCACTAAGTTGTGAAATCTGGTGAACCCCCTCCTAAAAATGAATATTTCCAGGGATTTAAGTTTAAATTTTCTCAGGGTGATGGATGTGCTTGTTTTCCTCTCCATAGCGCTTGGAAGTCCTTTGGAACTACCTGGAGAAAGATGAAGTCTTAGGTCTGGTTCAGGCTGAGCGCTGGGGCTGGGGCTGCCGGCCCCAACTGCCCAGCCCCACTCTCCATGGGGCTCGGGCTGCCAGCCCAGTGCTGACTGCTGTGGGCTGGGGCTGCTGGGCCCGCCGCACTGACCAGTTGCCTGTTCAGTGCTCCATGGGGCTCGGGCTGTCTGCCCTGCAACCTGGTCCCACCTGCTGCTGCCCAGGCCCGGGGTCCTCTGGCCACCATTAGTGAAATTTTTCTGGTGAACCTCCTGTAACGTTGTGCGAAAAGGGGTTTGTGAACCCCAGTTTGGGAACCAGTGATCTAGACCATTCCTGACACATGTTTATCCAACTTGCTCTTAAAAATCTCCCTAGGCAATTTATTCCAGTGCTTAACCACCCTGGCAGTAGAAAGAGATGAATTCTTATTTCTTTCATCTCAGGAAACATAGCACAAAAATTGGATTGAACCATTAGTGTTGATAAAGAAGAAGTTGAAATCAAATCTATATTTGTTCATTGTAGGATATTCCACTCTGTTTCAAATTCTCTGTTCTGTCCTAATTACCTGGCAGCCCCAACGCTGGAAGTGCCTCACTCCACTCAATTGTCGGTGTTTTATAAGATAGGTATCTGCAAAAGCTACATAGAGGTTGATGGAATCCAAAAGTTGTTGTTGTAGAGATGTAAGAATCTTGTCACACAGTACTTTTTCAGCTGTCTTAACAAACACGTCTTGTCTTCTTCATTTAAGGAGTTAATATAAGTGCCCTTATTAGTCAGCTTCTGAACTGAAGTCTTTGTTTCTTCCAGTATATTTTCAATGGATACCTCTCTGATTGATCCAAGTGTAGCTTCCGTTGCTGGACAGAGATCTACTACTGTTGTAGCAGATGCCTGGATGACATTCTATAGTGACCCAAGTGGTTTCAACAGTAGACTTACAAGAGAGAATGGAGATTGTGTTCTCTGAACTTAGTAGCATAATTAGTTCACCAGCCTCACTACTTAGATCAATCCCATCTTGGTAGATACTTTCCAAAGCCATTAATAATGGTTGCAGTAATTTTAAGACAACAGCCAAGGATCGCTCATGAGAAAGCCAACGGATTTTCCCAGGTTGGACTAATTAGAACTTCTGTCCCAATGTATCCTCTATATTTTCTAAGATGTTCAGTCCTTTTGGATTCTTGCTGAAAAAGAGTATAATGAAGACATTGAATTCATAGCTTTTTAAATGCCTTTTGAAGATTCTGCAGCTTGTACTAATGCTATTTGGAATAGAAGGCCTCTGTAGTGTGTATTGGAGAGATTAGGGTTACACTTTTCTCTGAGCAAAGCTTGTACTCCACTATGTCTTCCAGAGAAGTTTGCAGCTCCATCAACTGTACAAGCAGCCATCTGTTTGGGGTTCAATTGACAAGCATTTAACTCTTCTAAGATGTGGGTTGTCAGAGATACAGCTGATGTGACTTCTATAACCTGAACATCTAGAAATTCATCTATTGACCTAACACTGATCTCAAGATAACATAGGTAGTGACTTAATACTTGACACCCATTTGCATCGGTGCATTCATCAGCCATGTATGCACATTTTCTGAAGGTGATGAGAGAGTTCTTCACTTTTTCAATGACTGAATCTTTCACTGTTGCACTGCATGCTTTTAACTAGTCAATTGAGTTTCTTGCAGAAAGATAGTGAGCATTTGCTGGTCTTGGTCGGAACTGTGTCCAACTTCTGGATTAATAAATGACAATGCACATAACATTGGCCTCCAGTCTGTAGTGTGTGGTATCTCTTGCTTAAAGAGAAAGTATGATGTGACAGCCATGTTTGTTCGCATAAACTGTGTTGTGTCTCCAGCATTCTTAACAGCCTCATTAAGTACTTCTAAAATTGGCTTTCACAATGACTAGCTTACAAGGCTTTCTGCATGTCAATGCAGTCCAGAGGATTGGTGTTTTGCAGACTTTTCACATAGTTTGTCAGCACTGGCTTTGCTGATCAGTCTGGCAAATCAAGCCCCTCCACTTTTACCATATAAATCCATGGTATGCTCACACTTCGAATACTGAGTGCAGTCCTGGTTGCCCCATCTCAAAAGAGATATATTGGAATTGGAAAAGGTACAGAGAAGGGCAATTAAAATGATTAGGCGTATGGAACAGCTTCCATATGAGGAGAGATTAAAAAGACTGGTGGACTTTCCGGCTTGGAAGAGACTATTAAGGGGGAGGTCTATAAAACCTATAAAATGTTGCATCCCTGCCCATCCTGGCTAATAGCCTTTGATAGACATGTCCTCCCTCACATAACACAAGAACTAGGGGTCACCCAATGTCATAAATAAGCAGTGGGTTTAAAACAAACAAAAGGAAGTACTTCTTCACACAACATACAGTCAACCTGTGGAACTGTTTGCCAATGGCAGTTGTGAAGGCCAAAACTAGAACAGGATTAAAAAAAGAACTAGATGAGTTCCTGGAGGATATGTCCATCAATGTCTATTAGCCAGGATGGGCAGGGATGCAACACCTTGCTTTGAGAGCCTCTGTTTGCCCAAAGCTGGGAGTGGACAACATGGAATGGATCACTCAATAATTGCCCTGTTTTGTTAATTCCCTTTGAAGCACCTGGCACTGTCCACTGTTGGAAGACAGAGTACTGGGCTAGATGGACCATTGGTCTGAGCCAATATGGCCGTTCATATGTTCTTATGTAAAAATTAGTTACAATATAATAAAAATGTTTAGTACAGAAACTCCCAACACCAGCCAAAATTGATCACTTGGGCAACACAAGCTCTGTCTGCTGGAAACCTAGGCAGAGTAGGTGAGTTCATGTAAATACAGTCTGGCCCTTAAGCCTTTCTCGCTTCCCTGGCTCATCACCAGCTGTCAGGGGAGAGCTCAGTCAGACCTTGCTTACAAATCATAATTTTAAATTATAAGGTTGGCCAACATTGCTGAAACATTGTCAGAAAAAACAACACCTGTGTGAGGAAGCTAGTCTTTGTTCATAGTTTTCTAACCTATTATACTTTTTCAGGTACAAGTATCTTATCATACACTGTATATGCTTTTAAAATGTGTATTAATGCTTCAATTTCAATTGAAATTTCCAACCAATGACAAAATTGGCAACACTGTTGTAACTAGTTGACCACTGGGGGGTGGGGGGAAGTGTTGGAGAAATTCAGAGGCATGTACAGACCCCTGGTGGGGGGAAAGGGGTGTAAGGAACGCCAGGTTTCACTGAATTAAGTCTCCTGCTGCAGTACCTCAGCAGGTTACATCAAAGAGGAGCTGCAGTGACTAGGCATTCAGATGCCTGTGCCTTCAAGCAGAAAGAACGAGAAGTACTTGTGGCACCTGAGAGACTAACAAATTTATTTGAGCATAAGCTTTCATGGGCTAAAACCCACTTCATCGGATGCATGCAGTGGAAAATACAGTAGGAAGATATATATATACACACAGAGAACGTGAAAAAATGGATGTTGCCATACCCACTATAACGAGAGTGATCAGTTAAGGTGAGCTATTATCAGCAGGAGAAAAAACACCTTTTTGTAGTGATAATCAGGATGGCCCATTTCCAACAGTTGACAAGAAGGTGTGAGTAACAGTAGGGGAAAAAAGAAAAGGAGTACTTGTGGCACCTTAGAGACTAACAAATTTATTTGAGCATAAGCTTTCGTGAGCTACAGCTCACTTCATCGGATGCATTCAGTGGAAAATACAGGGGGGAGATTTATATACACAGAGAACATGAAATAATGGGTGTTATACACACTAAAAGGAGAACTTGTGGCACCTTAGAGACTAACCAATTTATTTGAGCATGAGCTGTAGCTCACGAAAGCTCATGCTCAAATAAATTGGTTAGTCTCTAAGGTGCCACAAGTACTCCTTTTCTTTTTACTAAAAGGAGAGTGATCACTTAAGAAGTAGGGGGGAAAATAAGCATGGGGACATAGTTTTACTTTGTGTAATGCCCTTAGCTGCTCCTCTTAACCAGTCAATTGTTGCCCTCTGCTCAGACCCTGGCCATCCCCTCCTCTGATTTGCCCCCTTTGTCCTTTTTTAACCCCTGTAAATGCAGCCAGTAGAACCTTTTGCCTAGTAAGGGCAGGGTGAAGAGCAGTGGCTCCAGCAGATGTTACTGAGCATGTGCAGTTTGTGTGAGCTTGCTGAGTGCACCCTACGTAGCACATGGCTACAGAGAGCAGTTTCCTACACTACACTTGGCCGCCCAGCCCTGTCTGCGGCTGCAGCTGCGCATCAGAGGACCCCCTGCAAAGAAGCCCGATGGGGAGCGGGGCGGGACAGGCGATTACCAGGGCGCCTAATGCCTCCCTCTGCCTCGGCCAGGCGTCAGACAAATGCGCCGCAGAGACGGAGGACCCCGCGGGCAGACAGAGGCGGACGCACAGCACCGGTCCTTCCCGGCGGGATGTTTGTGCCCTGCGGCAGTTCCCCTCCTGCGGCCTTTGAAGGCTTCACGCTCCTGCTGGTAACAAGCCCCCGCCCCCCAGGGTTCCTCCCCCGCCACCCGGCTCAGCTGCTGTCCCCTGCCCCAGCCAAGGCCGAGCGCCGGGGCCTCCCTGCCCGCGGGAAGGAGACTCCGCCCCCGGCCAGAGGGAGCAGCGAGGCGGGTCGCCGCGGGCGGCGCAAACCGGCGCGGCCGGGCCCAGGATATGGGTTCCAGCCGAAGCGCTGGGTTGGCTCTTGCTGCCCGGCGGCGGGTGTCTGGAGCGGCGGCCGCGGAGTGACCGGGTCGCCCAGCTCGCTATCAACTGAGCTGGGAATCAGAAACGGCTCTTCACTGCTGTTACCTGCCCTGACTCTGTAGTAACCTGGGGGAAGAGGAGGTGTCGCTTGTTACTCTCCCCCCCCCCATCCCGCAAACAGTTACAGGAGCTTAACTGTAGGGTTGCGAGTAAAATTAAGCACCGCGTAACGGTTTGCTGGCTTGGGGCCCATGGTAGGTGCAACATATTCAAATACCCTTCCCTCTCTTTCGGCAGTGCCACATACCCTTTCCAAAGCCATCCATAGCTGAGTTTTCTGCAGTCTTCTTAATTAAGCTTTCATTTCCACTGGCAAAGCCCTTGTGCAACTAAATGTTCACTGTTTGCCATACTGAGGTTAATGTTTATGGGTAATAGAGGCTGTATGTTGGGGGGTTTTCAGTAGGGCACATCTTGTAATGCAGTACTGGTCTATTAGTATAGGAATGAAATATGGAAGATACCTGTCTTCCAATGTGTAAAAGGAAGCTTCAGGTTCTCCTATCCCATTTTAATAATATTGGGTAAGAAGGTAGTCATTTGAGCATATACTTAAAGATATAAGTTGAGTTTTAATTTATTAATTTGAATACTATACATAGTTGTTTCTAACTCAGAAATCACAACTGAATGTATAAAAACTGTGTAATATCAAAATAGCCAATAGATGTCACTAGGTGCTAACAATTTCTTTATTAGGTTTTAAAGAATATTTTCAAAATATTCCAGCAAAAAAAATTAAGGTCCCAAATCTGTAAACACTTATCCGTATGCTTAATTTTATGTCTAAATAGGGCTATTTACAGATGTAAAGTTAAGTATAAGTGTTTGCAGGATCAAAACCAAAGTTTGCATTAGTAAAGCTGTTCACAAATTAGCCTTTTTTGTCTAGTGGCAAGGGCTTACTCTTCAGTGTTTGTGATGAGTTTAATTAGTACAAGAATTCAGAACTTCATTTCTGACTATTTGTCAACTATCATTTTTTTTTACTGTAATTCAGGCAGTAAACACCAATTTGTTGCTAATGCTAAGACTCTTCTGTTGTTTCAGCCAGCTGTATCAGTTGGGAATGTTGGCCAGCTGGCGGTAGATCTAGTTATTTTTACCCTTGACATGCCTAAAGTTGGTTACTTCTACACTGATTGCCTGGTGCCAATGGTTGGCAATAATCCGTATGCAACAGCAGAAGAAAACTCAACAGAGTTGAGTATAAATGCTGAAGGTATGTACTAAAAGTGTATTTCCAGTGTTCCAAAGCTATGTCTCAAATGTTCAGTTGGGCCCCAATCCTGCAATGAGCTCTATACAGAGACCCCAGTGGAAATGGAGCTCCATGTGGGTGGAAGGGGTACACCCATGTTATGTTCACTGTAGGATTGGGAATGTAGTTTCCTTGTAAAGCCAGTTTGTGCTGAAACAGGAAACTATATTGTTGAAATAATACAGTATGTGCCTTTTTATGTAGCTAAATTACTGTTCTAATCTGATACTTTCCAGACCAAAATTGCCACACTCCCCTTCTTAGTTTGCTTAAGTGAACCACTTTAAATGAAGAGCTGTAACAAGAACTCTTATGACTTATCGCTAGGGTTGCAGGTTTATCACACGGGACAGCAATGCTTACCTAAAAAAAGACTTTGATCAGTGATCATTTTAAGGGGGTTAGCCTTGAAATGTAGGACTGAAAACATTCATCCAAGTCCTCATCAGTGTTGTCTCTCTCGAGCACCACTGCTGGGTATATTGTCATGCTGATACTTGTCTGCACCACACTTCCACATATCTGTACAAAGCAGGCTGCTGAGCATTTGATTAGTTAAAGGATCAGTCGCACATAGTATTTCACACACATCTGGAACAATCAGTGCATCCTATGAGGCCTGTCCAGGCCCAATAGGAGAGAATAATTGTGGATGTGCTTGATCATCCCAGAGCCATTCCATTGCTTGACAACTTTCCCTCTTGGTAGCAGATATAAATGCAGCCCTTGTTGGTGGCAATTTTTCTCCGTTTGTCTGCTTCTTGGAAAACATCCACCAGTGTAGTTCTGCAAGTGTTGTAATGTTGATCTTCAAATGGTAAATTTGGCATATGAACACCTCCAGTGTGTTTGACCTCATTAGTGACTATCTCAGCTGTTCTGAGAACCTACAGAGGAAAGAGAGAGTTCTTCAGCAGCTGAATTAAATGCCTTCCAGTAAGGTAACATGGTGTCTCCAGACAACCTTTAAGTAGTGCCGCATCCTGAAAGAGTGGGAACCTGGCAGTGTGGCAGCTTTTAATGGTCTGAGTGAGAGAAAGATATCTCTGAGGGATATACAAGAATTTTCTTCCCTAGCAGCAGGCTCAAAAACCAGAATCTTGTGGAAGTATTGGGCAGAGTCTCTCAGAGAGAACATTTGCTTTGTGCAAAAATCCAGAGTTTAGTAGCATCTCTTTTTGTGGCACTGATGGCATTCAAGATAATTTTAGTGTCGGCTTCTGTGTGGGAATTATGAAGAAAAGCCTCAGAACAGTGCCAGGCAGCAGTTTCAGTACACTGTATGATATTTTTTGAGCAATCCTTTGCCTACTGGAGTGTGTTTTCCTGCAAGGCGTGCAGTTAAGTCATCCTTCGTGTAAATATGAGATGGTAGCGTCTTCAGCTTGACATCGGAGACGATTTATGTACTGTATAGGTGCAATACCTTGGAGGCTCTTCTATCTGATAAGATTTTTAATTGATTTCTCTGCATATGTGTCAAACGCAAGGTGGACTTGGTCATAGGTCAAGTATTTTCTCTGTAACCTCATAATGAAATGTTCAGCCAAATCTCAGCAGGTATTAATGGTTTTTGGTTTGTCAAGGGCTTGTATGTCAGCCACACCATCTGTGATTGCTATGCTGAAAGGCCTCTGCTGGCAAAAGGTACTGGTCACGTTTTCAGGTGCTGGGTAAGGAACAACGTGCAGAATGCACATTAGTTTGCTTTTTGCTTGGCACATATGCATTGTTCCGTCACATTCAAACATTGATTGTGGTACCATGGGTAACTTGTACTTATCAGCTGCACTAGGAATTTATTACGGATTTTGGAATGAATTGTTAAATCAACAGCCACTTGCAGTGATAGATTATGTATATGCTGAACAGTTATCATGAATATGTTGGAAACCTGCCTTTCACCCAAGCACTCCTACATGAGGCTTTGCGATTAAAATGGCAGCCTTGTGGCCCACTTGTTTACCTTAATACTTGGTGGTGCTGAGGTCACTGCAACCACCAGTGCACCACTTAAAGCAGTACAGGTCATGCAATATTTTTTTTTGGTTAGGTTTGGCAGCAGCTCTGGATTCTTGAAATGCCGATGTACTGCAGGACAAAATGCTTTTCTGTAAAAACGTAGCAGTTGCAGACAGTCTTACTATTACTGTTGATGACAGTACTTTCTTCTGCTTTGGATAGTTCCATGTCTTTTGCAGCTTTTAAAGATATGGGCTGAGATTTATTTCTGTGGACAGGACTGCTAAAAACTGCATCCATATCCCACAGTTCTACTTCTTCAATAAGTGGTTTAAGAGTCTTTTTGAGTAGCATTTGTTCCTCTTCAATCACGTTTGAAGCATGTTTTTCTGTAATTACCGTCTGCGGTGGCTGTTCGCTACCACCTTCCCATCCACAAGAGCAACGGTTTCCAAACTATGGTTTGCACCCCCAAATGGGGTCATACCATCAGCAGATGAGTTATGGGTTCAGTTGGCCAGATTTGGCTCATGAGATGATGTTGTTTGCCCCTAGTGTTTCCATACCTGGTCCATGAATGCTGCCCCCGAGGCTGTAACTTTGATCTACAAAATGGCAGCCTCCTCATGGCATCACCTTCCACACATGGTGCTTGTGAGGTCACATTATGTGGAGGCCACCATTTGGTAAATCAAAACAGCCTCCTGGCGTTTGTGGAGCAGATCTAGACACGTTGGTTGTGCAGATGCCAATTTGGCCATTTGCATCATCCAGCTGTGCAAGCATCCAGCTGAGGGACCTGAATGCAGAAGATCCTTATCTGTGGGCAGCAGCCTTATCAACAGAGCATCCTCCATGCTTGAGCTGGTGGGAGCCTATGCTAGCCTTTCCTGAGATACGACTCTGCAGTGGCTTGTAAGGTCCATAAGGCAGGGCCCATACCTTCCTTTATGGCAAGCCGAGTACTCTATTGGCACTCAGTCATTGTAAGTCACTGTTTCTCTATTGCCCTGGGATCACCACACAGGGCCTTCTTAAATACTGGCCTCCTTTGCTTAACAGTGAATTCCTCTTTTTTTTTTGTTGTTTTTTGTGATAAGAGGCACAATGGACTTATTTTTACACTGAATACCTGGCTCAACCTTAAGCAGTGACTCTAGTGTTGCTGTTATGAACAAAAAACAGGAGTCCAAGAAATGTGTTTGCAAATATGGTGAAGCTTTCTTTGATTATAGCTTCACCAGAATTTTGGTCAAGAACAAAGAAAGGCCAAAATGCCTGCTATGTCACACAGTGTTATCTAGTGAAAGCATGATCCCTAATAAAGTTAAATGACACTTGAAAACCCTTCACTAGGAGCATATGAAAAAAACAAGGTAGCTTTTCCAGTGCCGGAAAAAAGAACTTTTGCATCAACAAGTGGCATTCAAGAGAGCCATGTCCGTTTCTGAGCAAGCTCAGAAAGCACCATTTGAGGTGAATTACCATATCACACAGTCCAAGAAGCCTCACACAATTGGGGAGATTTTGATTTTTGCCAACTGCAATCAATACGGTGAAGGTAATATGTTGGGAAACTAAGGCAAATAAGCTCAAAGCCATACCACTCTCCAACAACACAGTGAAGCGAAGGATTGAAGTGATAGCAGCAGATCAGGAAAACACGCTGGTTGAGCATCTGAAAAACACACGTGCTTTTTGCTCTTCAAGTTGATGTGAGCACTGAGGGTGGTGATGCACATTTCTTGATTTTAGTGAAATATACACATGGAAAGGTGCAATTCTCAAAGTCACTGTGTTTTGTCTCCCTCTTCCCAGTCATGAGATGGCACAAGAAATGTTCAGTGCCCTCTGGAGCTACATGTAAGACAAAAATATATTGTGTGACTACATTGTGGGCTTTTGCACAGATGGGAGCTTTGTCTGTGGCAGAATACACAGCAGGTCTGCATGCCTTGGTAAAGAAAGGTGCTCCATCTGCTGTATGGAGTCACTGCAGCAGTCTCCGAGAACAACTGGTATCTAAAGCTCTGAGTCCAGAGCTATGTGGTGATTTGCAGCTGATCTCCTCTATTATGAACTACATATCTGTTGGCAAAACTTGATGAAGAAATGGGGTCTGATCATGATGTTGTGGCGTTCCACAGTGAAGCTCTTTGGCTGTCAGGAGATAAAGTACTTGGATGATTTTTTTTGAACGGAGAGATGAGCTGTGAATCTGAGCAACAGACTGCAAAAAGGATGAACTTGGTTTTTTGTGTGACCAAGGGAAGATGTGCTTATGTCACTGACATATTTGGGAAACTGAATGAACTGAATACAGGTCTGCAAGGAAAGAACACCCACATCCTTCGTCTGAGTGACTTGAATCACAGGATTCATGAAAAAAATTGTTGCCTGGAAGAATAATCTATTGAAGACAACCTATGACTCCTTCGTGCAACTTGGCCCCTTTGGAAGAAGCTACTGTTGTCAAAAGCTGACTTACCTTTTCACCAAATTCTGATTCCAAATCCTTAGCTAGTAACTTCCACCAGTTCAGTGGTTTGACTTTATTTAAAACTTCAGTGCCAAATGTATTGAATAGTGAATTTATTTTTAATAAATCATTGAATATTTTTATTTAGTTTTAATCATTTTAATAAATTATACTAAATTTAGGCTTTAACAATGATTAATATAATTTTAAATACCTTTTTCTATTTACGTCTTTAAATCAAATCTGATTCAAATTTTTATTTAGAATATCCTTTTTTATCGACTGTTATAAATCATATTAATCTGGACACGTGTAACTCTACATTATGCACTTGTTTTCTCCTTACACAACTTTTTGTTGTTTTTTGCAGTGTATTCTTTACCTTCTAAAAAGCTTGTGGTTCTCCAGATCAGATCACCATTTGTAAAGGTATGTATATTATTGGTTGTTCTCATTGTATCTATTGAAAGCTGAATCAGAAAATGTACATGTCCAAATTCTTTAGCAGTCAAGATTAATGTTAACCATTTTATGAAATAAATCCAAAAGTAACTATAGCTGGAGAAAGTTTCCAGTGCAGAAAAATCACTTTAAAATGAATCTAAAAATTGTTTCTGGCAAGGCTTCTATCCAGCAAATATATAAAATAATGGGAAATAAGTTGGAATCAAAATCTTTCTGAACTGTTGTAACTAGTAAGTTGCTTATTAAACAGATACAGTTAAAAATTGCCATTAATTACCTAATTGCATCTCTACTGTTTGAATTAAACTCTGGTTGTGGACTACTGAGAAAAGCCAAATTGGATTTAATCATACTGATAGGTACACGATGATGTATTTAGTTGTCACTAGGATACTGGCACTATTTAATCCATTTATTCTGGGAAAATATCTCCTTATAATTAAGGCTACGTTTTAGTCACGGGTATCTTTAGTAAGTCATGGGCAGTAAACAAAAATTCATGGCCCATGTCCTGCCCATGACTTGTAGTATATACCCCTGACTAAATCTTAGGGGGGCTAGCAGGCTCCCTACCTGGCTCTGGGCCTCCCCGGAAGAGGCAACATCCTCCTCCCTCTGCTCTTAGGCAGAGGCATGGCCAGGCAGCTCTGTGTGCTGCCTCTGCCCTGAGCACCAGCTCCGCAGCTCCCATTGGCCGGGAACTATGGCCAGTGGGAGTTACGGAGCTGGCGCTCAGGGCAGAGCCTCCTGGCCACACCTCCACCTAGGAGCTGAGGGATGTTGCCGCTTCCGGGGAGCACTGCCAAGGTAAGCGCTGGTAAGAGCCCTCACCCCCTTCTGCACCCCAGCCCTGAGTCCCCTTCCTAAACTACTGCTGCTGGGGGAGGCAGGTGCGGTGGCCTGAGACTGCCCCAGCAGTGGCTGGTGCAGCTGGCCCTGGGGCTGCCTGAGCTGCTCAGATGGCCCCCAGGCCAGCAGCACTGGCTGCTGCAGAAGTCCTGGGATCCGTGACCTCCGTGAGAAACTCACAGTCTTACTTATAATGAGTGCACATTTGTGCTGTTTATCTCTAAAATTTATTTCTGCTATCAGAATGACTCAGTTGTTTCTCAGTATTCTTCATCTACCTCAGAACTGAGGTTATAATGTGAAATGAGGAGGAATTCATATTGTTGTATACTTGCTATGTAGAGATAGTGATTGTCATTAAAGCCAGCATTTACCACACCAGAGTAACTGAGCACAGTTTTTTGGCTAGTTCAAGTGTGTGGGTTCTTAAAAACCTTCAACGTTTACAATCTAGCTGTAGTAGATTTGTGATGGGTTGGTTTGGGATGCCACCTGATGTACTGGGGTTTCATTGAGCCCCTCCTGCTCCACCAGCATGGATTCCCTCTCCCTGTTTGGTGAATTAGATGCACACACCTAAGTAGGGCCACACCCATCTGCAGACACAAACGGAAGTCAGCTCTGTGAGAGAGGATCCACCCAGCACTCATGTGCATATCCCTTTTGGGAAATAAACCCACGCTGTATAATACTTTTGCACTGTATAGAAAAATCTGCACAGCGCAAGCTCATAAAAATTCACCCTCTCCCTGAATGTGAAGAAAGATATTTACAACTTCTTGCCCCCCCCCCCAGTTAAAAATTGCACAAACTGGGTTTAATAATAAACAAAACAAATTTATTAACTATAAAAGGCAGATTTTAAGTGATTATAAGGGATAGCAAACAGAACAAAGCAGATTACTGAGCAAATAAAACAAAACATGCATATTAAGCTTAAGATCTTAAAGAGAGTGGTTTCAAGAAGTAATTTCTCACCCTAAATATTTTAGGCTATTTGCAGAGTTTCTCTAGCTTAGCGTTCCAGTTATTTCTGCTTACAGACTAGACCCCTCTCTGTCTGACTCACCCCTGTCTTTCCCCTCGGGTTAGTTCCTTTGTCCCTTCATGTACTTTTAGCGGTCTTACTTCTTAGGTGGGCAGTGGAAGAGAGTTTAGATTAACCTCCTCTCCAGCCTTAAAAAGGATTTACCTAAGTTGAGAAACCTTTGTTTGATCCCCATCCCCTTACAAAGGAAAAGTGCCAGCAGTATCCAAGGTGGTTTTTGTATCAGGTGGCAGGACCACCTGACCTGTGTCGTAGTGTCACAGCTATGTCCCAGGATGCCTCTCGGGAAGGAGAGAGATTCGTATCCTCACAATCTTATTGTTTCTTCCTGTGATGGCCAGTTGCCTGGTGGGTGTCTCCCAAATACACACACAGTTGTAATTGTTACACAGGAATATTGACTAACTTTAGATACAGAAATGATACATGCATACAAAATGGATAATCACATTCAGTAAATCATAACCTTTCCAATGATATCTTAAATGAGCCATCTTGCATAAAATATATCTGTTATGCCATATTCATATCATGACCGTATTTCTATGAAGAATATGGGGTGTAACGTCCACTAGGAGCTGGATCAGACTTTTACCAGCTATTTTCATACACTAGTATCTAAATGTTGACTTGATTCATAATCATAAGCATTGTAGTTAAGCTTTGTTCCATCCTTAACCTTCCATTTAAAACCTTTCATCTAAAATAAAGACTTAACAGGCATGAGATGGTCGAGTTCAGGATCCTGACACAGGGAAGAAAGGAGAGCAGCAGAATATGGACCCTGGACTTGAGAAAAGCAGACTTTGACTCCCTCAGGGAACTGATGGGCAGGATCCCCTGGGGAATAACATGAGGGGGAAAGGAGTCCAGGACAGTTGGCTGTATTTTAGAGAATCCTTATTGAGGTTACAGGGACAAACCATCCCGATGTGTAGAAAGAATAGTAAATATGGCAGGCGACCAGCTTGACTTAACAGTGAAATCCTTGCTGATCTTAAACACAAAAAAGAAGCTTACAAGAAGTGGAAGCTTGGACAAATGACCAGGGAAGAGTATAAAAATATTGCTCGGGCATGCAGGAGTGAAATTAGGAAGGCCAAATCACATCTGGAGTTGCAGCTAGCAAGAGATGTTAAGAGTAACAAGAAGGGTTTCTTCAGGTATGTTAGCAACAAGAAGAAAGTCAAGGGAAGTGTGGGTCCCTTACTGAATGAGGGAGGCAACCTAGTGTCAGAGGATGTGGAAAAAGCTAATGTACTGAGTGCTTTTTTTGCCTCTGTCTTCACGAACAAAGTCAACTCCCAGACTACTGCACTGGACAGCATGGGGAGGAGGTGACCAGCCCTCTGTGGAGAAAGAAGTGGTTCGAGACTATTAAGAAAAGCTGGACGAGCACAAGTCCATGGGGCCGGATGCGCTGCATCAGAGAGTGCTAAAGGAGTTGGCGGATGTGATTGCAGAGCCATTGGCCATTATCTTTGAAAACTCATGGCGATCGGGGGAAGTCCCGGACGACTGGAAAAAGGCTAATGTAGTGCCCATCTTTTAAAAAAGGGAAGGAGGAGGATCTTGGGAACTACAGGCCAGTCAGCCTCACCTCAGTCCCTGGAAAAATTATGGAGCAGGTCCTCAAGGAATCCATTCCGAACCTCTTAGAGGAGAGGAAAGTGATCAGGAATAGTCAGCATGGATTCACCAAGGGCAAGTCATGCCTGACTAATCAAATTGCCTTCTATGATGAGATAACTGGCTCTGTGGATGAGGGGAAAGCGGTGGACGTGTTGTTCCTTGACTTCAGCAAAGCTTTTGACATGGTCTCCCACAGTATTCTTGCCAGCAAGTTAAAGAAGTATGGGCTGGATGAATGGACTATAAGGTAGATAGAAAGTTGTCTATCTACACTAGATTATCGGGCTCAACGGGTAGTGATCAATGGCTCCATGTCTAGTTGGCAGCCGGTATCAAGTGGAGTACCCCAAGGACTCGGGTCGGTCCTTGGGCTGGTTTTGTTCAATATCTTCATAAATGATCTGGAGGATGGTGTGGATTGTACCCTCAGCAAGTTCGCAGATGACACTAAATTGGGAAGAGAGGTAGATACGCTGGAGGGTAGGAATAGGATACAGAGGGCCCTAGACAAATTAGAGGATTGGGCCAAAAGAAATCTGATGAGGTTCAACAAGGACTAGTGCAGAGTCCTGCGCTTAGGACGGAAGAATCCCATCCACCGCTACAGATTAGGGACCGAATGGCTCGGCAGCAGTTCTGCAAAAAAGGACCTAGGGGTTACAGTGGACGAGAAGCTGGATATGAGTCAACAGTGTGCCCTGGTTGCCAAGAAGGCCAATGGCATTTTGGGATGTATAAGTAGGGACATTGCCAGCAGATCGAGGGACGTGATCGTTCCCCCTCTACTCAACATTGGTGAGGCCTCATTTGGAGTACTATGTCCAGTTTTGGGCCCCACACTATAAAAAGGATGTGGAAAAATTGGAAAGCGTCCAGCGGAGGGCAACAAAAATGATTAGGGGACTGGAACACATGACTTATGAGGAGAGGCTGAGGGAACTGGGATTGTTTAGTCTGCAGAAGAGAAGAATGAGGGGGGATTTGATAGCTGCTTTCAACTACCTGAAAGGGGGTTCCAAAGAGGATGGATAAAGAGAGTTCTCAGTGGTAGCAGATGACAGAACAAGGAGTAATGGTCTCAAGTTGCAGTGGGGGAGGTTTAGGTTGGATATTAGGAAAAACTTTTTCACTGGGAGGGTGGTGAAACACTGGAATGCGTTACCTAGGGAGGTGGTGGAATCTCCTTCCTTAGATATTTTTAAGGACAGGCTTGACAAAGCCCTGGCTGGGATGATTTAGTTGGGGATTGGTCCTGCTTTGAGTGGATGGTCTCCTGAGGTCCCCTCCAACCCTGATATTCTATTAGGAAAATCTAGTTTTAATTAAATGAACAAACCATAAAAATTGTAGCTTTTTGTTATTTATTAAATACCTAATCTATCATTCTGCTTCTTCTCCTCCATCTTGGTATAAAGAACAAGTATAGGTCATTTTGTCAAACACTCCTTTCTTGGGTGAAAAGCAGTAGATGTGCCAAAGTCATTCTTCTGTCAAGCAGCCATGCATATCAGCGTGATGATCAGCAGCTTCATAGGTATGTTCGTATGAGTGCTTTAAGGAATTTAATATTCCTGTTCTTTTCCATAAAGTTAAATGACATGTTTCCATTTAGCACAGGTCCTGTTACTTTAAGTATTTTGCTTAGTTCTGTGTGTATGTGTTGTGCAAACTTAATATTAGGGCTGTCAAGCAATTAAAAAAATTGTGTAATTAATCACAGTTGCAATCAAACTGTTAAACAATATTAGAATACCATTCAAATATTTTTTGGGTTTTTTATATTTTCAAATATAGGGTCAGGACTGGGGGTTCTGGGTTTCAGCCCTGCTCGGGGCTTTAGCCCTTCTTGCAGTGTGGAACTTAGAGCTCGAGGCTTCAAGCCCCTCCTTGGGGCTTCAGCCTGATGCAGGACTCAGGGCTTCAGTCCCCTTCAGGGTTCTAGCCACTCTTGGGGCATGGGGCTGGGACTGCAGCCTGGGAAGCTGTGGATGAGGCTTTGGCCCCCTGCTGCTGATGCCTCCTGCCCCATCCACAGGTATGCAATCAACACATTAAAAAAATTAACAGGATAACTTAGCTTTGTTAATTGCAGGCATTAACTTCAGTTAATTGACAGCCCTACTTAATGTGTATGAAATAGAACTGTAAGGGGATGCTTTTAGTAAAAAATGCTTTTTAGTTTTCATCTCACTTTATTCTGGCTCTTTGTTTTCGCATTTCAGCTTGGATAATAGATGACTCAAAATTTTTAGTTATTGCTAACTTGTGATCAGTTTAAGCTTCTGCTCTTTTACGTTAGCAGGACATTGCAATGTTAAGCTCACAGATAAGCCAGGGTGATGTTAATTCTTTTAAAAATAAGCATTTTTCAATGATTGGGGGGCGATCACAATCCATGATTAAAAAATGACATCACTGTTTTTGTAGAAGACCTACTGTCGTTTCAGTTAAACAAATCTTGAGGTCTATAAATGTTTATCAGTCTGATGGGGGTAGTTTGCACCTTAATGGTACTAGGTGCTTAGGGTTCAGCCCACCCCATTGTAGTGTGGCCCTTTAAAATTTTGAAAGGTTCTATATCTGTGTATTAATATTTAAGAAAAAACACGGAGGAGAGATAGAGAGGAAGTGTGTGAGGGAATGAGTGGTGTTTGGGAGGAAGTCCTGTCACTGTCTTTAAGAGCCTGGGGCTAGGAGATTTTGCTGTAGTCTCACTTGATAAGCTGGGAGAAGGGGACCAGCATAACTGCTGCCTCCTCCCTAATAGGAGGGAGACAGCAGCAGGAAAAGACTGGCCTGTTGAACATTCTGAGTTGAAGAACTGATTGCGGAGAAGGAGCCAGTTGAAGGAGAAGCTGGTTGAGGCCCTACAGCTGGCTAAACTACAAGCCAACTCCTAGGAGGACAGCTGAGGACTCCTGGCCTAAGGAGCGCAGTAATAACTACCTGAATTACCCAGCTCCAGGAGGAGAGCGTGGGGCTCATGCCATAAGGGGAAACTATGACTGTTCGATGTATAAATGCTGTTCCACAAGGAGAGCAAGGGCTTCTGTGTTTTGGGAGAGATACAGGGATTGGCTCTAGGAGGCCAGCTCTAGGAAGGGGACTGAGCAGGACATGTCTTCTGAACCAGGGCAAGAGCTGATTGGGACTCTTAAATGGACCCACAGTGGGGTGAAAGTGGCACAGCTAACAGTGAGTTATACTTTGTGGAAAGACTTAATAAATCAAACCCCACAAAGGGGATATGTGTTTTGAAGCAGGTTAATCAGGGAGACTGATGGAAAGAAACTGGGGAAGGTGAGTGCTGAGTGCAATTACCCAGCAGGTGAGAGATGATGCAGGCTTTGGTAGAGGGGTGCTCTAATGCTGTGAACATTTAAGCTCTGACTCGCCTCCAAAGTTGAGGCTTGGGAATCACCTGATTGGAATTGACATGAACAATCACTCGAAGAAAAAACGGTTACTAACCTCATAGCTGCTGTTCTTTGAGATGTGTTGCTCATGTCCATTTCAATACCCACTCTCCTACCCCTCTGTCAGAGTAGCCAGCAAGAAGGAACTGAGTGGGTGGCAAGTTGCCAGGACCCAATATTGACCGCCACGAAGCTGTGACCCCTAGGGGAAACGTTTTCTGGTTGCTGAGCACACGGCCCGCGCACACACCTGATTAGAATTGACGTCAGCACTAGAACAGGGGTGGGCAAACTTTTTGGCCAAAGGGCCACATCTGAGTGGGGAAATTGCATGCAGGGCAGGGGTGCAGGAGGAGGTGCAGGAAGGGGCTTAGGGCAGGGGCTTGAGGTGAAGGAAGGGTGCGGCAGGGGGCTCAGGGCAGGGAGTTGACATGCAAGGTGCAGGAGGGGTTTGGGCTCTGGCCCAGGCCCAGCACCGCTTACCTATAATGGCTTCAGGTTGGCAGCGGCATGCACTAGGGCCTGCCCTGGCCCCATGCTGTACTGAGCCAGGAAGCGGCCAGCACCATGTCCCTGCAGCCCCTGGGGGAGTGGGCAAAGGGCTCGGTGCACTGCCCTTGCCATGCCTCAAGGTCTCTCCCCCGAAGCTCCTATTGGCCATGGTTCCCTGTTCCTGGCCAACGGGAGCTGCGGGGGGTGGTGCCTAGAGGTGAGGGCAATGCATGGAGCCCTCTTCCTCCCTTTCCCCCCTGGGCCACAGGAACGTGATACCGGCCGCTTCTGAGAGTGGTGCGGGGCCCAGGGGGTGGCAATCCCACAGGCCGGATCCAAAGCCCTGAGGGGCTGGACCCAGCCTGCGGGCCGTAGTTCGCCCACCCCTGCACTAGAAGATGATTTACTTCCAAAATGTACCATTGGATGTGGCAGATTGCTGATCAGTTTGTTTTGCAACCTCAGATTAGCCTGTGGGTTTGACTTGTGGAAGAAAGCAATTTCTGTGCTCTTTAATTTCCAGGTTGAGGCCCTAGAAGATTACAATTACCCTTTTACACAAGTAACCTATGTAACTATTTACAGTATTCTTGCATTTTATGATTTATTCCAGTACGCCACTACGATACTTACTCTCCCCTGCTATTCAGAAAACAGCTGGAGATCTAATGCAGAGGCTAAACTGGAAAGAGATGGAAAAAGTGGCTGCTTACCCAGGAGTAAATGATGCAGAAATGGTACTACATATTCCTGGAGGTGGCATCACAACATGGTTATACAGTGAGAGGTGGGTGAGCTGGCTGATGTTAAAGGGAACCATAGTAAGATGTCAGAATTCTTGTTTTAATTACCCAGATACAATCCACTTTTACTTCTTTAGTCAGATCCCAGGAAAAATGACCATTCATTGTCTTTTTGTGGGATGCTGTGTATATTATTAGTAATGGTATTTTTTGGAAAAACCTGTAGGAGTAGAATAGGACATTGTCATCCCCAGAACAAACCCATGATTGAGAGAGGATTTACATGACTTATAAAAACCCTCGCAAAATAAAGCTGCAGCACAGTAGCTAACAATCTGACTTTCATATGGTTTTTTTTGATCGGGTTGGAAGGGAAAAGGAGCGAGGCTGCAATGAAGATCGTAACAAACACCCTATTTGATGATTAAAGTATGTATGGTAGAAGATTTGTCTTAACGTATTTAAGAGCCAAATTAATGCAGAAATTACCTATTATGATGTCAAAATAAGATCCAGAAAACTTTGCTTGTTTGGTCCATAACAGACAGGTTGAGCTAAACAGCTTCTGTAAAGATACTTGCTTTCATGATGATTGAAATAGTTCCCAATTATATGCTCCATCTTTAGAGAATAAAATTCTAAAATTTGATTTTTTTGAGTTTTTTGGCTTCAGGACCAGCACACAGTTTAAAAAAAAAAAAATGAATGTGGGTAAAAGGTTATGTTAAAAGCAAGTCTGAGTTTCAAGAATTTGACCAGTTTCAGAGTAACAGCCGTGTTAGTCTGTCTTTGCAAAAAGAAAAGGAGTACTTGTGGCACCTTAGAGACTAACCAATTTATTTGAGCATGAGCTTTCGTGAGCTACAGCTCACTTCATCGGATGCATACCGTGGAAACTGCAGTAGACATTATATACACACAGAGACCATGAAACAATACCCCCTCCCACCCCCCTGTCCTGCTGGTAATAGCTTGGAAATGGCCCAACTTGATGATCACTTTAGATAAGCTATTACTAGCAGGACAGTGGGGTGGGAGGGGGTATTGTTTCATGGTCTCTGTGTATATAATGTCTACTGCAGTTTCCACGGTATGCATCCGATGAAGTGAGCTGTAGCTCACGAAAGCTCATGCTCAGATAAATTGGTTAGTCTCTAACGTGCCACAAGTACTCCTTTTCTTTTTGCAAAGAATTTGACCATAAAACTTACCATGCTGACTGAGTTAAACAACTTTTGCAATGAAGTGTGTTAAATTATTTTGTGCCAGGTACAAGAACATATTACTTTCTTAGCATATGTTGCCTTTCACCCCATCTGAGCTTTTGCCTTGACTAGGGTTAAAAATCCTGGCCTTTATTTGCATTTATTATTTGGATCATGGAAGCACCTAGAAGCCCCTATCAAGATTTAGACCCTATTGCACTATGTGCTGTATAAACACAATGTAAGAGACAATCCCTGCCTTGAAAAGCTCACAATCTAAATTTGATGTGACAAGGGATGAGATCAGGGAAACAGGTATAGAGAGATTAAGTGATTTGACCTAGTTCACACAGCAAGTCAGTGGGAGAGCCGGGCCTAGCATCCAGATGTCTTGACTCCCAGTCTACAGGTCTATGTACACCGTGCTGCCTCTCAGAAAGACAGTCAGACATTTTATGCACCAAATACTCTATATCACATGCTTCTCAAAGCTTAGGCTGAAGATTCAATGTCTCTGCTTTTGTCAGGCTACTACTTTTAATGACTTTCCCAATCTTGAAACTTGAATTGGGTTTAAGCTATTTGTGTGTGGTTTTGTTTTTGTTTTGGATGGGGATGGGGGTGGGTGGGGGAGATGTCATTTTTAACATTTCCCCCTTAAGTTCAGGATAAACCTTCATATCTTTTTGAACTTGCCATTTCAAATGGGAAACTTATTTGAGCAGTGTCTTCTACGCTATTATTACTTCATGTTCTTCAAATACACATCATTTCATTGAGTGTCTCATTCTTCCTTTATGGTGTTTAAGTAAGATAGTTATTCTTCTATCCAATGACTAGAATGTCCGTGTCCGCTAGTTTCTGAAATGTTTAGTTACAATAAAACTTGGGTTAGAAAACAGTGTAATTCCAGGTTGGAAATATTTATTATTGTATTTGTAATGAATCACTCATTAGAAATGATTGCTGTTTGAATTACTAATACTTTAATAGAAGCTCCCACTATGGTGGGTGTTTTCTCCCCATGTTGAAACTACAGTGAAATTCCTAGGCTAAATATTAAGGGAGGCAGCTTCCAATCTGGATTATAATTATAATTCTGAGGGGGAAAAGTAGAAAAATTCTATCAGTTGGAGCTCTATCCTGGTCCCTTATATCAAGTTACACCCATCCTAAGAATGTGTATTTGTAAGCTCAGTAAAGTTATACTCCATCAGGCCTTTCCTTGTTGTTTAACCAGATTCTAATCCTCTTCTTTGTTTTACTCTGTGCCTCTTGAGATTGCCTTTCTATGTCCTTCCTGTTATCTTCAGTAAATTATCCTCCACCTATGTTCATCTCATTCCAGCAGCTATTCCCTGATTTAACTTCCCATATCTAAGTCCTACCTTCTTTCATAGTGTGGGGACAGCATGCATATAACCAACCACTCCACTTTTCAGTGTTTGTAGTACATGAAGAGATTAAGGATCAGCATCAAAGGAATCTGTATGAATGCCCACGTAGCAGTACTAAAACAGCAAACTAACTGTGGAGTAGTACTCCCACAGCATAGGATCTATGCCCCCCCCTGCTAAGACCAGTTGGTTGACTATCAGAAGGCAAACAGACAACCTGGATGTTTTTTATTTTAGAAAACCAGTGGGCTGCTCCCTTTTATGTAAAAGATGAAAACCTGATGTTAAATAAGCTCCCCACCACTGATTATTGTGCCAATTGAAAATCTGACCAATTTCTGTTCCAGTTGTTCAAATGGAATTGAAATGGCAGTTCTGTTGAAATTCTGCTCAGAGGGGGACAACATCCCTGATGCACTGGCTCTTGTTAACTATCTTAATGAGTGGCTCCAGCTAATCAAAAGTGAAGTAAGTACTCTTTCAGCTCAAGGTTTTGCTTTTAGCTCTTACTGTTTTCATTTCAGCAGCTCGAAATTAGACACCTTCACCTTTTAACTGAACTTTCATGAACTTGACAGCCTGTCAGCTGAGGTTATGTGTCAGAGTAGGTGTTGTCCTTTTGTTCCAAGGTTACTGGAAAGGTAAGGATGTGCTCCACCTGCAATCAGTGGAAGCAAACTCCTACCCAAGATGTAGGGCCCTACCAAATTCATGGTCCATTTTGGTCAATTTCATGGCCATAGACTTCAAAAAAATCAAATTTCATGAAGGCAGTGCAGAAGTAAGGGTGGCAATATTGTAACACCCACCCCAATAAGCTTGCAACCCCCTGATTTCCACAACCATGGGGAAGGTGCTGATCTGCAGGGTCCACTGGTGGCTGTGAGGAGGAGGTAGGGGGGCAGCCAAATGAGGTTACCGCAGAGTGTTGCATTACTTTAAACAAGCATGTTCTGTAATGGAGCAGGGATGCAAGATTGAAACAAGGTTAAGCAAGAGGATGTTAAGTGGGGAATTACTGTAGCTCCAAGACCATCTACAGTGATTATAGGTACTTAGAGCTGTACCAGACTGCAACTGGGAGGGGAAATGGGAAAAGCAGACTTGTCATCTGTGGTTAATGTAATTCCAAAGTTTGAAAATGTATTTTGTTCTTAAATCAGCAGACCAGTGATGCCGCAGCTATTCCTTCACAATGGAAAATACCACATTCTTGGAGATTACTCTTTGGCAGTGGCCTTCCACCTGCACTCTTCTGATTAGTCTGGTATTCTGAAAAATCAATTGTATAAAATCTGTAACCTCCCTCTAAAGATTAACATTTAACTTTATGCACATTAATATCCTCTATTTATGCAAACATTTCCTTTTAATACAATGTGAGTATCAAAATTTAAAATAGGTCTCACTCTGACCAAAGAACTGTATGGTGTGCACAGAAGTTTCTTTGATATCTTCTGGTGACTCTTTTCTAATAAAAGACTTCTAAAAAAATTTTTTTTTCTTTTAGAGAGTTAACCACACAAGTTAAAATATCCTGCTCACCTATCTTTGCCATGAAGGTAACAAACTTACCCATTCCTAAATCAATTTGTGAGTCTAGCCTAAAGCTGGAGACCCTTTACCTCATTAGCCTACTCCCTCTCTCCTGGCAGTCTGACTGAGCAAGCCACCAGTGATTCCTACTGCTCTAAGTGGCTGTGCACTGTCTGCGGAGGTGCTACACAGAAGACCTATCAAGCTGGACTGTGTTTTTTTTAACTTTGTTCCACAGCACTGTAAAAGAGACAGCAGACTCCACCTCTTCCCATGGGCTGCAGAGAGACCAAGGTTAAAACTGTCCAGGTGGATAATCCTTACTAATGACAGCTAGTTTGATTGTTGCCAGAGAAATGCCTCAACTTTCAAATTTTTTTCTTTAAATTTAAGATTTTGATTGGCTTTGCACAACTACAGTATAAAAATAAGATTTACAGGGCTAAGATAATTCAAATTACTAATTACAAAAGAACATGGATTGTACTGTGGACATAATCAGACCACTTCAGAAGTAGCTGTTGAAATCAGTTCTGTTTTAAATCTCCAGGAATATGAAATATTTGTTTAAATTGTAATCCTAAAACTGTCAGATGTAAATTATGGCTTACACATAAGAACCTTTGATAATTGATTTTCATATTGGTATTACAGTAATGCTGAGATATTACATTGTCTGAAGATTTAAGCTAGTTGACTTTTCTCAGACTTTTCAGAATTATCTGGAAATCAGTCTACAAAGAAATGTTTCATAAGGGAGATGCCTCAGGGTTTAGGAAAGTAGTTCTACCTACTTAAAGTATGTGGGCATTAAAAAGGGTTGCTCTGGAAGGATTCATGAATGACAGAGGTGGCATCTTATAATGAAAATAAAATTGCTCTGAACCAAGAAGTGAATCAACGGTAATGGCATCCAAAAAGACAATGCAGCTCAGAGAAAGGATTAAGTACAGTCACTAGAGAAGACTGTGGGATTGTCAGACTTGGTATTACTGGACAGGTCTGTTTCCCATTTCAGTGTCATGGTTGCTTACTGAAATGTGGCCAGATTAAAAAGTTGCAAAAAAATGTTTATACAGCTTTCTATAGTCCCCATTTTAGAACAGGATATATGTAAATATATTAACAGTGCTTTTCTGTCACTGAATTATCTATAACAAACTTTTGTAGGGAGCAGCTCATGCCTAGCTGAACATTACAGAAGTTAAAGGACTTAACTGTGTAAAGGTGGAAGAGGGACACAACTTGAGTATTTAGCAGTCAACTTAATTGAAGGCACAAAAATAGTCCCATTTAAATCAATAGTACTCACATACTTAAAAACTTCATTGGATCCTAGTGAGAGGGTTCACCCTTTGCAGGATTGAATTCAAAATCAAAGTGAAAAATGCTGAGCTGGAGTAGAGACCTGGTTCTTGGGGGTGGGACCTGGAGTAACTTGAATAAAGATAGTGGAATTATCAATGTAACAGATTAGAATCTGACCTACTGTATTTAACTGAAGCTGGCAAGTATGTAGGGAACCAGAATGCAGTTACCTGATTGGGAATTTGGACAAGACATAAGGCTTAACATTCATATAATTAAGAAAATAGTTACAGGTCTTCAATGAGTGCAAGAGGCTACCTGTGGGGAGCAAGTTTAATGAGGTCCTTTAGTACCACAAACTGTTTCTGAAAAGCTCTGCAGGAGGGACCTGATTCTGTACATTTATTTATGAATAGTCCCACTGCAGTGGATCTACCTCATTTTAGATGTCTTAAATCCAGAAGACCAAATTGCAAACTGAAGGTCACAGCTATATATTGGTTACCCTCAATACTTCCTTCATATTTATTACACCCAGTAGCTTAAATTTAGGCCCTGTTACTGCAATGAGGTAGTAGCCAGTGTTTTACTAGATAGTTGTAAAGCACAAAGGCTCTCCTTGACTGGGGCCTACTACTCATACAAATACAGTAGGGTGCCCTCTGAACTTAGTGGGAATGATATGGATTTGAGGGACAGCACTGGACCTTCAAACAGGCATTTGAAGATCACAGAATAATTGTTAAAATTTTTCATAAAAACAAGGTATCACCTCAGGCCTTTTCCAGCTCTTTTATGTGCCTTGTTCCATGCAGTTTCATTTTGACCTCTTAAAACATTGTTTATATAAAGCTTTCTGTATTTAGCTGGGCCTGTTGAGTAGTTTCAGCTGTTGGGAATCAAAGGGATTGCTTTGTTGAGGCCCTGCAGCAACATCATTCCCAGCAGAACTGAGTGTGAGTTTAAAAGAGATTACTCAATTCTGTATGGGGGACAGTCTTCCTAGATATGTCTCCACTAGGCTCAGCCTGATTGTGTATACAAGTTTTAGTTACTTTAGTACAAAAACAATTAGTAAGAAAATCCTTTAGTTTCCTGTTTGGATAACTCAAACATGTAAGCTACATTTTATCGATTTCCAAAACAAATTCACGCTTAGAACTAGACTTTTTTTCTGCCTCTGCTGAAGTTCAGCATTAAGGCCTTAAAAGAAAGTACTTACCCCGTGGTAGGACTAGTACCAGAGTGTATTTTAATGGACTGTATCCAAAGTGCCACACAAAAAAAGCAGCTACCTGCATTTCTTTCATTGGTAAAGTATTATGAATATTTATAGTAGCATGATAATGGAACTATGAAAAGTAAGTGCAGATTTTCAGAGGTGTAGGCTTATAAGAATCCTACCTTGTAATCATGTTTACTTTATTATCCAATTCATTAATTTAACCTGTTTTTGAAAGCCCTATTAATATGAAGTTATGGTTGAGATTCAAATGCATGGAAGTCATGGGGGGGGTCACATATAGAAATATGTAAAGTGGTCTAAAGTGGGCCCTATGCAGTTCACAGCCCTAGGATATGCTGCAGAAGTGTGCTCTTGAATCTGAGTTTTCATTTTAACAAGTATTTATAGCCTCATAAGTGCAAAGAAAGCCTTGAAAACGTAAACAGAGTGTAAAGTGAGGTAAATAAGTCTCCACCCAGCCTGAAACAATAGCTCTGAGACAAGAATAGTTATCTCAAAGATTAAGCCTAAAACTAAAATTATAATTTAGGCCCCAATTCAGAAAAGCATCCTTAATTCAGGACAATTAAACATGCTTTAGTGCTATCTTGAATAGAGATGCTTTCCTGAATTGGGGGCTCAACACCCACCATTAACTATTTCTCTGAGGCTTACTTCAATAGAAACATTGAACTAGATATACTTACCTCAAAATACCTCACATGCTTCCTCACTTCAGACCCAATTCCATCATCACCTCCTCACCCCTGACTACTTCCAAAGTGCAGTTAGATATTGTCAACACAGAAGTCTGCTATAACTTGAAAAAAGTATGGACAGCACAAAATAAATGGAGTATCAAAATAATTTACAGAGCATTATTCAATATTGATTTGTAGACTTTGCTTTTTAATTCAACAAAACCCTCAATTTTTAAGTTCACCTGAGGCTGCCACAGAATTTCCTGAGGACTGCAGAATCCATGGACCTTGCTGCAGAATTTAGGTCCAGTCTGCCACACAATAGAGGGCCTTGGATTAGTGCTAAAACAATCAAGATCAGTACATGGGTTTGAGGGAGTCAGTTAAATTGATTTAACATATTCCGAGTGGCTGGAAGAGAAGTGTGCATGAGGAAAAGCAACTAAGGGGAGGGTATAAGGTATAGAAGCGCCTACCCTGATTTACACTTCTGGTCCTTGAGTATAAATGCTATTACAATAATTTTTGTTGAGGTTACTTTGAACTCTACTAGATTCAAATATATTGCACACTATCTCTGAATTTGGCATCTGAAATAAAGTTCTGTTCTCTACAGTGATTGTTAACTTGACCATACTGCACAAGTATCAAGGTGTAAATTCAGCAATGTACACAGAATATTAAAGGCATGAACCCACTGAAGCTATAGAGAGACTCCCATTGGCAGTAATTGGCATAGTGCAACAGTTATGCTTGTGGGAAATAGAAGTTTGAGATTTTAAATGGACAAATAAGGAAATCAAACCATATCATCATATGGCAACTTTCTTGCACTGGATTTTGCAGAGCAAAATCTGTTTTCTTGTGCATAAAGACTAGAACAAACATGGAAAGAGTTACTTAAGCAAGTATTCAAGTATCCTTGTTTTCCTTTAACTGGAATGTTTACAAAACAAGATTTGGAAAACAAGAGGTAGAGTTTCTAATGGAGGCTACCTCAATACTCAGCATCAAATTTGTAGTTTTCCAGTTGGGTAAGAAAAAGAAAGCCTCGAGATAAATCCCAATTTTCTTGTAATACTGTTTAATAGGTTTTCCCTAACATAATGCGCACACAACAGTATGTTGTCAATTTAAAAAAATATTTAATGCTGCCAAAAACATATAAAAATACAATAAAAATGGCAGTACAAAGTATTTTCTAGTTTATTTCTTTTACATCTTTCTACAGTTAATACAGGCATTATAAAAACCACAAAAGACAGCAAGTTATTTTGTTTCGCAAAGTAGCATGCTGGTGGTGTTCTTCATCCCCTGGATGTAGTTTACGTTGTAAACAGATAATTATGAGGCCTTCTTGGTATTTATCAGACCTCACTTTTGTTCCCGGAGAGGGGTTCATATCTTGCCTTGCATGTCAATAGTTTGCAATTTATAGATGTAGAATATTCACAAGTCTTGGAGGTTTAGATGTCAGTCAGTCTCGGCCTACGACATACAACGCAAAACAAAGTCACCGATTCAGTAAAGACTAAAAATCAATAGACTAAGGGCTCGGAAGTCACTAGAATTATAAGGCAAACCCCCAAACTGATAATTTGTTCCAATTTTTCACATTTGTTTCTCAGACTAAATTACTCCATTACTGTAAGTAGTAAAACTGTTTGAAATGCCAAATCCTTTTCAGAAGAGATACTATAGATAAGGCAAATGCATGCTGGAGATCCCCAGTCCAGCAGGTCACTAAAGCCCATGCCCAACTTTAAGCATGTGAGTAGTCCCATTGACTACAGTGGGACTGAGTATTTTGCTGGACAAGGACCTAATAACTGCTCTTTGAAATCTGAATGCCAGTCCTGTTTTGTAAGGCATAGTTCAAAGCAAAATGACATTCCAAGTCTAAATTCACTTGTCCCAATGAGGGAATTCCAAAATTATAACGTTTTTAATAAAGCAAAGCCTATATGACAAGAAACAAATTAAAAGAACCAACATTCATAAACCCACACTGATTTCTTCCAGAGCACAGTAATCTTTTCTTAAACTTAATTGACAGCATCTTTAAAAAGGTTTATTTTTCCACATATCAGGCCTTTTAATGCAAATAAAGACTCAAGACAGATGAAATATTTTGAATACATTTATTTTCAGTACACAAGAGTGAGATTGAGCTGAAGCCAATGAAAAAACAGCTTTAAAAGGCAGGAAGACTATCACACAATTATAAACTTTGCCAAATTCCACCCTGTAGTTTAAATCACTTGTCCACAATGACAATTTTCCCCATGAGTTCTCTCAATCAATTTACATAAGTTTCTTGTGTAGTCATCCAAAAATCTGACGTTTAAGTCTAATAAATGAAGAGGTACACGAAATAATTTTATTGGCCTCTTTTATACTTTGAGACGATGTAGTCTTTTTCATACCCACCCCCATCACACACACTTGCCTTTTTTATAATGTCCATTTGCACTATACTGTTTATTTTTAAAATACAGTGTTAAAATAAAAATACATCAGTTTATGAAATGGAACATGTAATGTTCCAAAGGTTTAATTAAGTTAAAGTAAGTTTCATTTGCAAATTAAATTTCCCTAAAATGCACGTGTAATTTCTCCAAATCTTTACTTTAGACTGTATTTAATTATTGCTATTGGATAACTCCTGCTCAACAAGTAAAGGGGAAATATTTAAAAGATGGAGGGGCACAACACAGTAAGTGGTGCCATTGCAAACAATAGATTTTCCCCTGCCAGAAAAATATAATTGAATAGAAAACCGTAAGAACTTATTCCAATCCTTATAAAATAGAATGTGCTACTTATAACTGAGATTCACGTGTACATTAGTGATTACTCGTTAAAAGGTGAACGAGATTTATATGAAGCTAATCATCTGAATGTCAGCTTTAAAGTAACCTAATTAAAAAAATAAGTTCTACTATGCTCCAATTATCTGTAATTATTCTGGGAAACAATACATACAGGGGAAAAAGGATCACAGTCAAGATTTGAATCAGAAGCTCAACAGCATTTCAGAACTAGTGCCCCAATCAGGATTTAATATTTCAGAAGTAAAGACGGTTGTCTCATGTGCTCGTGACTTAACTGCCATAGAAACAAAGTATGCACAGCCTAGATTTTGCACACCTTCCTGTAAAGTGCTATGAACTAAAGACAAAAGAGGAAATCCTGACTCCACTAAAAAGTCAGTGGGTATTTTGCCATTATTTTAAATGGAACTAGGATTTTACACAAAGTTCCTTCCTGGAATGTGATAAAAGGCTTCATTCTAAGCTTCTTTCCCAACCTCATACTGCAGCAGATCGTAGTTTAAAATATTTTTGCCTGTCACTGGTGTGAGCCTTAAAAATTTTTACAGCTTGGTTGTTAATGATGCAGCCAAGCCAACCAAACACAGCTTACCCATGAATTACCAAATACATTTACAAATGCTACTTTGTGGTGTGGAAAGGAGTGAACAGAATGTGAGCACACATGAACATTCCCAAGCAAGTCTTCTTGGGGTCTGGGCAATGTAGGAGACAAAGTTTAGATGGAGTCAGGTAAAAATTCAAATTAAGGTCTTCAAAGATGCATTTAGAGCTTGTCATCAGAGGAAAGCAGAAAAGGCTTGGAAAAATCCTGCTGCTGAGTCAGGAGATAAATGGAGACTTGCAATTTCAGAGAATGGGATATTATCTATCTTGGAGATGTTTTTTTCTTAACTGTTTTCCTTTAAGCACTTTAAGATATGGAGATCTTATTTACTTTTATAATAGTACTTCATGGCACTACATACATTTTCCCATAAACGAAACCCAGTCGTTTGTAAGACATTTTACAACACTTAAAAGTTTTAATTGAAATAAATATGGGCAGATTGAGGAGTAAGATATATGATGGAAAGACTAATGCATTTGCTTTAGGCTAGGGGTTGATTAGAGTTAGAACAGCTGAAGGTTTAAAAAAAAAAAAAGATATTTGTTGGGACAAGACCTTCCTAAACACAAAATCTTCACTCTCCCCAGATTGCTTAAGGTCTTGAATTTAGCATTCCTGAACTTGGTTGTATTATCCTTAAAATACCTACTTACAACAAGTAACCAAAATTTACCATATGTGCCAAAGCAATTACTAAATCTTGGCTCTGCCATGGCTCCAGTACCAGTTGCAATCTCGTTTTAATGGCAGTCTTAAAGAAACCCAGCTCTAAACACTGTAAGACTCCACCATCTGAAGTCTCATTATTCTACTAACACCAGGGGAATTCACTATTCACACTACCTGGAGTTACCTGTGTAAATCTATTGCACTTCTGTGAGACACTCCTCAAAAGTGTATGTTGTTCAGTCATCTAACTGCAGTGCAATGAAATAGCAACTCAGTTTCAGTCCCATGTTTAACCCCCTGCTACTGAGCCTGCAGGTGGCTGGAGACCTTTCAAAATGTTTTATTAAGGAGATCACAATATCATTATCCCCATTTTACACATTTGGAAACTGAGGCAGAGAGGTAGGGTGATTTGTTCAAGGTCACTCATCAGACCAGTGGCAGAGCCATGAATAGAACTCAAGTCTCCTGAATGCTTATCCAGTGCTCTATCCACTAGGCCACACGGCCTTCTTCCTTAGAGGAGAATGAGTTTGACAGCTGCATAAAGGAACCTATACAATGGGAAGGAAGTTAACAATGGAGCTGGGAAAAGAGCTATTTTAGATAAACTTCGCACTATTTGTACAAAAAAGTGTATGATCCATCTCAAAGTGATCTGAAGGTAAAGAAGTACTTCCTTCATCTGCTATTCCTCATGAAGTGGTTAACTATTGTGTTTATTATGGTGCTAGGCAACTTACATAGATCGGGCATCCTTGATTAAGACTACGTCACAGTTAACATCTTATCAAATAACTGATAATATTCATCTATATTCTGTAGCTAATACTTTCAATTACATTTGAAACAAGTTTTTCACGAAGTTAAATCAGTTTTAAGTTACCTTCAGTGTGCCATTATTGATAGGTGACAGATTTTTATCATTACATGGAATAAAACTCAAAAAAAATCAGTAAGATGAGACACAAAGTATCACATTACATATTTAATGAAATGTCAGAACTTTAACAAAACTAGAGCGTCAGACAGTAGCTGAAGTCTGAATACAGCTTCCATGAATCAGTTTAACAATTTGCCTCTAAGTCTAGGGCTAGCAAATAGCTTTATTAAAAAAAACCCATAAGCAATTTCAAGCTTTTTTAAATAACTGCAAAAACAAAAAATAAATAAATAAAAGGAATGCAGTGTACAGAGGAGAAACTGAAAAGTGCTTCATCAGAACCTTAGCTGCTCATATCCAAAGTCTCAAAATCTTGAAATGTGGGGAATGGATGCACTGTGCACAAATTATGCTTTACATTTAGTTCCAAAATCAAATTTTTTTGTTTTGGTCAAATAAATTTGTACAAACTAAGCTTTTAAAAGTACAGTTCGCTACAAAAAGTAAGATTAAATATGCAGTTATAAAATATATTTATCCTGGGTCATAAGAATATAAAATGTTGATGCCTATGTCAATAGTACATTACACACATATAAGGATAACTTCTTTGCATTAATAATGTAAATGATACCACGCTGTTTATTGCTTATGTCAGGCATGTAAATTAAAACCCAGACAGCCTCTATCGTTAAATCTTCATGGCTCAGGGTCCATCTACTAGATTCAGTGGAATACCATTTTTAAAAGTATATAAATACAGTTACACAAAGTTTGTACCTGTTTATTTAACAAATGAACAACTTTATTCTGGGTAGCAGTCTGCTGTTTGGTTTCAGAAGTACCTGCTGTGAAAGTCCTGAGATGCTGACTGTGATAAGTTTACACCACTTATCTAATTTGTGTCTAACCTGCACCAATTTTAGGTGTAAGGAGTTTGCTGCTGAAAGTCAAACTCCCTAGTGATTGACTTGCAGCAAGATTAGTTGCTACCGTAGACAGGCTCACAGTGCAAATAAGTGTTTACTTACAAGGAATGTTCTTGAAAATACAGTTTCCAGCAAGAATAAGCTCCAGCTAAAATGACTGTACCAAACCCAATCTTAGTGAGAATAGGTTTCCAATATAACCACCTTTTTCTTTTTCTTTCGGTCTCACTTAGCTTCTGTTTCATCTGGTGCACCTTCTGGGCTGTGTGAGCTTTTCTATCCTCTCGTAGCCGTTTCCGAACCGTACTAAAAGAGAAAAAACTAAATTGTAGAATAGAAGTAATTCCTCAAGAGATATTAGGAAAAAACCCCGCAATCCAACCCAACACACAGAACAGTTAACCAATCTGTGCTGTTTATAACTAAAACAATGAAGGAGGGAATGTTGACGAGAATGGTCTTTGTGCTACTCTAATTACCTGAACAGTTTAATTAAATACCCATGCTGTTTTAACATTATTAAGGTTGCCAAGTTAAACATCAAGAACTTAGGAAACACGAGTTGCAACCTTAATGCTGCTCCCTCTTGCCTACTGTATATGTATTTTCTATATTAATATATAATATATAGAGTATACCAAAAAAGCACACATTGAGAGCATCTTCACTGAAGAGATAACTCAGGCTCTTTCTTGGTTGTTGCCTGCAACCCTCCTACCACACACACAAAACCCTCTCATGAGTTTAGTGCAGGGGTAGGCAAAGTACAGCCTGCGAGCCATTTTAAGCCAGCCCCTGCTCCGGCCAGCGCGCTGGGTCCGGGGCCTCACCACACGGCTCAGCCCCGCTCTGACCAGGGCGCTGGGTTGGGGTCGCACCACGCAGCTCGGCCCCACTCCGGCACTCCAGCCGGGGTGCTGGGTCAGGGTCGCACCATGCAGCTCAGCCCCACACCACGCGGCTTCTCCACTCTGGCTCCTACGCACTCCAACGGGAGCTGCAGGGGCGGTGCTTGCGGATGGGACAGCGTGCAGAGCTGCCTGGCTGCACCTCCGCATAGGAGCCAGAGAAGGGACATACCAATGCTTCTGGGAGCCTCGAGGTAATCGCTGCTCGGAGCCTGCACCCCCGGGCCTCTCCCCATGCCCCAGCCCTGATCCTCCTCCTGCTCTCCAAACCCCTCGATCCCAGCCCGGAGCACCATCCTGCACCCCAAATCTCTCATACCCAGCCCCACCCCAGAGCCTGCATCCTGTCCCCAACCCCAACTTTGTGACCATTTATGGTCCGCCATACAATTCCTATTCCCCGATGTGGCCCTTGGGCCAAAAAGTTTGCCCACCCCTGGTTTAGTGGTACTTTCAGTCTGGGCTGGCAGGCACATCTGAAGCTTCAGGCTAAAACCAGCGTGATACTTTACATCAGACTGATAACCCACACACTTCCCAGTGAGGACACAGGCTAAATCACTTGTTGCTGATAATCCTCCAGTGTCTTGCCACAATTCCCCCAATACCCAAAAGGACAACAAGTTCTCCCACAACTCACTGGGAAAGATCAGAGCAACTCAGTTTACTGCAACAGAAAGAACCCTGGGACATGATCCCACAGGTCTTAGCAATGCACAGTGGTGAGTGCAGAATCGGTGAGGACACAGTAACTCAAGTAAGACTTTCTTCTGTGGCCACTCACACCAGAAGCAAGCTAACCCAGGTGCTCAGCCTCAGATTTTGATCACCTGAGTTAACAAGGCTACAGTGAAAACACACCCACAGGCTACTTGTGCCTTCAAACCACAGCAAACCTCCTACTGAGAGCAATGGGAAGTTGGTACAAAGATGGAGGATAAAATATGGCCCTTGTGTAGTCCAGTTTGCAAAGGTATTGAGCACGAACAGCTCCCACTGACTACAGTTGAGCCTATTCGTGTGCACAACTTCTGAAACTCACACCATAAACTTCTATTTAGAGAAGTTAGCATTGCATTTACCTCTGTGGTGAAAAACTGATACCACGTACTTGTAAGACCATTACTATTTCTGCCCTTTACAAGCTAAGCAGTCACCTGATTTGTGCATGTGATTGTGGTAATTGCTCAGTTGGTGTGTAAGTGTGTATCTAAGGCCACATCTACACTTGGAGCACTTTTATCACTACTGTACCAGCAAAAGCACTCCTGGTGTGGATGCAGCTATACTGACAAAATGGGGTTGCCAGCCTGCAGGATTGTCCTGGAATCTCCAAGAATTAAAAATTCATCTTTCGTTAAAGATCACATCATGGGATGAAACCTCCAGGAATACATCCAACCAAAACTGGCAACCCTATGGCAAAACTGACGTTTGTATTGGCCTAGTAAAACCGTCCCCATAAATGAATGAAACAAGCTATCCTGATATAAATGCCATTTTGCTAGTATAGCTGTATCTACACTAGAACCTTCTGCCAGTACAGACACATTGGTTAGGGATCACATTTTCACACCCATGGCCAATACTGCTCTTCTGGCAGAAGTCTGTCGCTTGTATATTGCGACAAGCGCTACAATGGCACACCTACAGTGCTACAACTATGCTGCTGTAGCGCCTTACCATAGACACTTAAGCCTCGGCTACACCTAAAAAACTCAGGTCAATCTAGCTACATCACTGAAGGCTGTGAAAAGTTTCACATCCTGTATGAAGTAGTTAGGTTAACCTTCCATCAACCTAGATGCTGCCTCTCAGGTCTACACTAAACCCTTACTACAGTGACAGAAGGGTTTTTTCTCATTGCCATAGGAAATCTACCCCCGAGAGGTGGTAGCTAGGTCAGTGGTTACCCAGCTGCATCTATAGCATGGGTTAAGTTGACCTAACTACTTCACAGAGTGTGAAATTTTTCACAGCCCAGAGCAATGTGGCTATGTCAACCTAAGTTTCAAGTCGAGACCAGGCCTTAGCCTTTTTATCTGAAAGTCTGAAGCCTTAATGAACAGAAAGCTCCAAAGTTAGCAACTCAATGAGATGGAAGGGGTAGTTCAGTCCTTTCAGCTGTTCTTCCGGAGTGTGTGCAGAATGACACTTGAAACCTTGTGCTGTAAGCCTTTCTGTTCCCAGCCATTTTGTTATTTTCTCTTTTCTTCTTAGAGCTTACTTATTTAAAAGTACTGAACAGGGAATAACTAAAGTGGTATCAAAGATTTTATTCAGCCATGTCTAAGACCATCTAGGGAACACACCCCATCCTTGCCCCCACTCAAGGGACAAATTATCTGGGATTAGAATTTCTCCAGGATAGGGTTGCCAACCCGTCCCAGTTTCGCTGGAAGTCTCCCGGAATTTGGCTCTATCTCCCAGAGGCTACTGAAGCCAAAAACTGGGAGATTTTAGGCTGCTAAATGTCCAGCAGCGTTGTGGGGCTAAGGCAGCCTCCCTGTCTGCCCTGGCTTTGTGCCAGTCCCCAAAGTGGTGACATGTCCCTGTGGCCCTTGAGGTAACAGGGGGTCTCTGTGCACTGTCCCCGCCCCAAGCTAGCCAATGGGAATTGCAGCCAATGGGAACTGCAGGGGCGGTGCCTGCAAATGGGGGCTGTATGTGCAGAGCCCTCTTCACCCCCGCAAGGGACATGTCAGCTGCTTCCAGGAGCAGCGTGGGGCCAGGGCAGGCAGGTAGCCTGCCTTAGCCCCACAGTGCCGCTGACTAGGAGCCACCAGAGATAAGCACTGCCTGGGAGCTGGAGCCTGCACCCATCACCCCCTGCCTCAGCCCCCTGAGCCCCCCCCATGGAGCCAGCACCCCAAGCCACCTTCCACACCCCAATCCCTTGCGCCAGACCGGATGCCCCTCCAGAATCCAAACTCCCTCCCAGATCCTGCACCCCGCACCCCCTCCTCCACCACAGAGCCTCTCTCACACTCCGAACCCCTCGGCCCCAGCCCAGAGCCTGTACCCCAACCCCTTGTCCCAGCTCGGTGAAAGTGAATGAGGTGGGGGACAGCAAGCCACAGAGGAAGGGGGGGATGAAGTGAGTGGGGCGGGGCCTCAGAGAAGGGGCGGGACAGGGCAAGGGTGTTTGGGTTTGTGTGATTAGACCATTGGCAACCCTACTCCAGGATAAGAGGATTTAAAAAAAACAAACAAAAAACCACACCCCCAAGGCACTTTCCATGTTTCTTACCTTTCAATGCTTCCATCCATGATATCCTGCACTTTAGTGGACAGTTCAGTATTTATTTTCTCCCCAATTTGCTCCTGTTTTTCTAAGCCAACACTATTCCCATTGTACTTCTCTGTATTTACTCTGGTTGGGTGTGGAGGGGACTGCTCAGAACTTGGTGCTTGGTCCTCCTTAGAAAGTTCCTTCCACCGTTTCTGAATGAATGAGAACACGTTTTTGAACAACATTTCTCAACATCGTGAAAGTTATATCTTTTTAATTTACATTTTTATTTATATGATCATTCTTGTTTATTCAAAGTATATAAAAACTAATTTCTAGATAAAGTAGTAAGCAACACCACGATACCCTTATTTACACTGAATAGAGAACAAAGTACACCCATCAGTCTTAGCTTCAGGTAACACTAAAACCTAGACTCATTTGAGGGAAATTCGGTTGTTAGAAAACAACTTGAAGGTCAAGTAAAGAGCAAAGAAATTTGTCCAGGATTAACAAAAATTTGCAAGTCAAAGTTAAGGCTGTGCACTCATGGCAATAGAAGAGGTAAGGCTCTTGGGCATGACAGAATACCTGCAAAAAATCTCTAAAAGTGGATCTGATCAAACAGATAGGTATTACAGAGAAGCCAATATGGTTAAGAGCAAGACACAATACCACAACAATTAAAAAATGCTAAATTATTATTCAAGAAAAAGTATTACAAGTGACAGTGGTGTAACTAGATATCTCTTTACTGTTTGCAGGAGACAAAATATTGGCAAGAGCCCTTCACAAAAGATTACTAGACATCAGATGTGAAATGTGTGGTTGTTTTTCTTTTCCTTTTTTTTTTTTTTAATGAAAACAGTCTCTTATATGAGCTTTGCTGCTCTACAACTCCATGTAAATCCAAAGCTTTTGTAATCAGCCACCTTGGTCATAAACCTGTGTAAAATCCAGAGAACTGGATAAAATGTCCAAAATGACCTGACAACTACAAGAAAACATGGCTGTACACGTCCATGTGACTACACAGTCCCTTTGGAATTTCCAATAGTTTTAAACAAGGATATTCTTTTTTTTTTTTTTTAATTCCTTGTAGCAGTGTTTAATGAACCGGTATGCCTTGCTCCTGTGTCAACAGATTAGATTCCCCTCAGGAAAACAAAACCTTTTATTTGTGTGTATCGGATGTGTCAGAAGTGGGAGTCCTTATTAAAAAACTACATATTGCGATCAGCATTCGTCATCCTCTCACAGGAAATCCTACAGATTATGAAGTGATGAGAAAATTAACTTTGTATTGGTAACCTTGCTATGGATTATTGCCTGATGAGCTCAAAAGAGGATCCTAAATGACTCCAGGAAACCTAAGATTTCATTTAAACAAGTGTTTACCTAGCTACCTGTGTTTTATTTGTGGAGATAGATCTCAAAATGCAAACAGTTTGCTAGGGAGTCTTGTCATTGGAAAAAGGAGAATTTATCCACCAAGAGTGAAATTATTATTCAGGCAAACTTTGACTAAATTGAGATACATAAGTGACGGACACCAGTTAGAAACCTATATTAAAACAATTTCCCCCTCCTTCCCAAAAACCACAGCTTGAGAACACTGTGGATGTCAAAAATGAAGTTTATGGGATTCGTCTACACCATGGTGGAAATGCTTCCCTGCTCCACTGCCCCACTCCGTGAAAATGCTAGCACCACTTCTAAAACCTCAAAAAGTGTTCACACTGTGTGGGCCTGAAGAGATATGCAGGTAATATATGATATATTTAAATAAAAAACAGTTACAGGTGATAGTATGGTCTTTTATCAACATTGCAAGACAGGGACAAGGAAGGTGCCAACAGATTAAAGGGGGGAAAAAGAGGTAAAAATAAGTTTCATTAAGTAAAGTTCACCCACCCACATCACACATCTTCAGCAGGGTTTGAAACCTGAACCTTCAGCACTGCAGCAGAGCGTTACCACTTGAGCTACAGGACTAACTACATTAGCAGGCAACAGGAGGAGGCGGTTATCCCAGGAGAGAAACAAACAGACTGCTAGCACCATGTACTAAATCCAGGAGATCGTCATGGGGAGTATGGCACCCAGGCTCTTCAACCCACCACCCAAAAGGTCCTGCTCTGCATGGAACCTGCAGGAGAGTGGAAAGGAGATGGGATGCTGAGATCGTGTGCCAACTCTCCTGCCCTTCCTCACTGCTCTGGCAGCTTCCAGTACAGCATGTGCTGTGTTAGTATCAGCAATCTCTTTACCGATGTTCATGCCACAGTTTCCCTGAGGATCACAAGCAAGAGAAGGGAAATGGGAATTGAAGAGTTCATATTTCAGCCAAACTTACATGGAATTTCGTGGGATGAGGAAAAAGCACTTCTCTAGCCGAAGGGTTTCTCCCTACTGAATTTTAAAGGCCTGCTGTAAACAGAAATGTTAAAGCTTTCCAGAAAAAGAGTTAGGCAACTACACAGAGAGGTTGAGAGCAACTTCCACTATACTCATATTTACTGGAAGAATGCTTACACAGCAAGCTGTTTAATTAGATCTACGTGGGCAGGCCCCTGAGACTTCATGATTACAAGTTCTGAGCATAAGACCTCAAAACCAGGAGAAGTTAACACAAGAGGAATGGAGTTGGTCTTAACCTTCACTAAGACTGTCTACACCCCCACTTATGTCGGTATAACATATACTGCTTAGGGGTGTGCCACCCTGTGAGCAACGGAAGTTACATCAACTTAAAGGTCGAGATGGACAGTGCTATGTCAGCGGTAGAGCTTCTCTAACCGGCATAGCTACCGCCATCTATTGGGGGTGGATTAATGAAATGGAGACGGGAGAGAGCTCTCTCCTGTCATCTTAGAGCACCTACACGAGAGAACTTATAGCAGTGTGGCTTCATCAGTGCAGCTGCGCCATGGTCCCAGAAAGGCAGTCTACATTAAAATGTTAGAGGTTTTTCCATGTACTGTTACAAATAATAGCTAATCGGGCTAGAGAAATGTTCTCTAATCCCTTCCATTTTACATTTTCAGTTTAATAAGCAGCTAGTTTCACTGTTGATGCAACATGCCCTACCACAGCAACATCAAAGCTGAAACTGTAACTAAACCGACAGGTAGCAAGCAGGTGCCTGCATAAAGAGAAAACAACTTGGAAGGAGGAAAGGGCCTGTGCACACATTCAGTGCTGTTACTTTTAAGCCTACCCAGAGATCCTTCTAAACAAACAAGAGCAGAAAAATCCATCTGTCTTTTTTCAAAAGACACCAAAAATCCACTCACATTTCATGCTTCTCTATTTAAAGGGTGTTTTAAATAAAAGTTCTGGATAAAATTTGTCAATTAAAACAATTCAAGTTGACACTGGGTCTCATCTGCACTCCAATTTTTAAAAAGCTCTTCTGGAACAGAAGAAGAAAATCCAAATTTACCATTTGATAAGTATATCTGAATAAGACCAAATTGATGTCCATATTTCTACTCTGTTGTGCAAGTAACTTAAATCCCTCACATACAATAACTCAAGTAACAATTTCCTCCCATGGCTATAGTTAAGCTAAACAAACATTTTTAAATAAACTGTGAAGAGCAGCAAGGAAAATTCAAATTAAAGCTGATCTCTTAGTTTACCCAAAAGCTCATGAAGTTCTTAAATGCAATGGGATCAATTATTTACCAGCATATTTTGAAATCACATTGGGACATGTCAAGGATGTGACATCCTTAACATTTAATTTTTACTTTTTCCCCTTAGAACATTCAGTTCATTCCAAGACTGACAGAAAAAATTAAGAACAGTATTTGTTCAACACTTGTTAAGAATAGTACACTTGCGAAAAGTCTTACTTCCATTTTTCCTAAAATGTGGGAGGAGTTAAGTTGTATACAACTGATAACCAAGAATAATTTAAAAAAATACTAATATCCAATAAAAAGAAAAGGAGGACTTGTGGCACCTGAGAGACTAACAAATTTATCTGAGCATAAGCTTTCGTGAGCTACAGTTCACTTCATCAGATGCATGCAGTGGAAAATACAGTGGGGAGATTTATATACACAGAGAACATGAAACAATGGGTGTTACCATACACACTAACAAGAATGATCAGGTAAGGTGAGCTATTACCAACAGGAGAGCGGGGGGGGGGGGGGGGGAGACCTTTTGTAGTGATAATCAAGGTGAGACATTTCCAGCAGTTGACAAGCATGTCTGAGGAAAGGAGTGGGGGGCGTGGGGGAAGGGGCGGGGAGGAGGAATAGTTTTTACTTTGTGTAATGACACATCCACTCCCAGTCTCTATTCAAGCCTAAGTTAAATTGTATCCAGTTTGCAAATTAATTCCAATTCAGCAGTCTCTCCTTGGAGTCTGCTTTTGAAGTCTTTTTGTTGAAGAATTGCCACTTTTAGGTCTGTAAATCGAGTGACCAGAGAGATTGAAGTGTTCTCCAACTGCTTTTTGAAGGTTATAATTCTTGATGTCTGATTTATGTCCGTTTATTCTTTTACATAGAGACTGTCCAGTTTGACCAATGTACATGGCAGAGGGGCATTGCTGGCACATGATGGCATATATCACATTGGTAGATGTGCAGGTGAACGAGCCTCTGATGGTGTCCCCTGAATAGCTATGTGGACACAGCTGGCAACATGCTTTGCTGCAAGGATAGGTTCCTGGGTTAGTGTTTTTGTAGTGTGGTTGCTGGTGAGTATTTGCTTCAGGTTGGGGGGCTGTCTGTAAGCAAGGTCTGGCCTGTCTCCCAAGATCTGAGAGTGACGGGTCACTCTTCAGGATAGGGCCAACAAAGAAAATAACAGAATGCCACTAGCCATCACCTTCAGCCCCCAATTAAAAACCTCTCCAACGCATCTTCAAGGATCTACAACCTATCCTGAAGAAGGACAACCCATCACTAAATTTGTTAGTATCCACAAAAAGAAAAGGAGTACTTGTGGCACCTGAGAGACTAGCACAGCTGCTACTCTGAAACCTGTTAATATCCAATAGTTATTCTAAATTTTGAAAGCTAGAGACTGACAATAGAGAATAAAATCTTCTGAAATTTTAAAAAAATTACACAAAAAGTCTCCAAAAGTTGCATACAGCTTACTCCAAAATTCACACATCATTTCAAAAGAAGACTGTAAAAAGTACGTATTGCTGCCAAAATTTATACTGAGAAATTGATACAATGGTCCATAAATTCCTCAGGGCCTCAAGAAATGCACATGCTAAAAAGGGAGAATTCATGTCAGTTTAAAAAACAAAGTCTCTCAGACTATTCAGTAATTTGACTGTGACATTACTAAAAATTCAACAAAAAATGTGAGGTATGGCCTTTGGTATACAAAACAGCAATATGTTCAGGAAGTGAACTCCAAGTTCTGCCAAAAGCAGCTTGCAGTAAATGACTGCTACTTCTAAGTGTGTCTTTGGGCTAAAATCATTAATGGTGGAAACAGTTAAGTATAGTCATAATGCTGGTCATAAGGCTGTGTCAGAATACAGAATACAACCACCTAGTTCTTACATAGCGTAAGTGTGTACTTTGCACCTATTTGGTCTTTAGTGGTTGTGTAAAATTTATTTACACACAAGCACAAAATGTGCGTTGGATGGAAACATTTGACAAGACAGCTGTAATAAACATGCTTTAAGTTATCTACTCCTCCATCCTATTTCTGAAAGCAGAGTAGGTTTGTCAAGTTAATTTACACTTGTTTACAGTACGTTGTTTTTTCAGCAAAAGAAAAAAAACAACATGATCTACCATACAAAAAGAGTTCTGTGTCTCCTTGACAAGGCGAAGCTATTTTAAAGTGTTATTACCGGAAAGCACACTGAAAACAAAGTCTAGAACTAGTGACTTGTAAAACTTGAATTTTTTGAACTGCATTAAATAAACCCAATTAATCTCATCGAGCTGGTTATACTGACTATCGCTGGTTAATCAAACAGTAAAAAAAATGTTACCTGGTAGCAAACTTTAATCTTCAGCAGCAGAATATTTTATTAACAGATAAAGTATGGATAATTCAGGGAGAAAAGACCCTTGTTCAATTTCACTTGGAAACATGACATTTCTTTTGGTTTTTAAAAAAGCTGATGATACGGATTTAACCTTCCTTATGTTAGTACAGAGTATGCCTGCCATATATCACAGAGCAGGTTACTAAAACATAGAATTAAAAGTTTAGCTGAGACACACACTTCAATGCTTGATTAAGAGAGAAGTTTATCTGCCTAACCAAAGCAGAAATGCTAAGAGAACATCAAATCGAATCACCCATTGATTTTATAAACACTGCAAATTTGGATTATTACAGTAGATTCAGTTTAGTCTAAAAACATTTACCTGTATAGTTGAATCCCCCATGATAAATTTTGCTCCTTCTATAATAGCCATATACGAGAATCTTAGCTGGTCAGGTGTCTGAATAAGTCCCATGCGATATTTTCTCATATCCAATAATACTTGCTTAATGTCTACAGAAGAAGGGTCTTTTTTTTCCATCTGTTGAAAAAAAAATCTGGTTAATTATATAAAGAGTTTTGACCTAGTCTGTGAAAGTGGGACAATTGTTCTTTAAAAGTACCAAAAAATAAGGAAAATTTTAAACACATACACCTCTACCCTGATATAACGCAACCCGATATAACATGGTAAAGCAGCACTCGGGGTGGGGTCTGTGCAGTCCGGCGGATCAGCACATCAGCATGTCTGGCTCCGACACACTGCTCTGAGTGGCGTATTAAGGGAGCCGAGCTGGGGCCGAGGGGTTGGATAAAGAACAGAGGGTCTCTGGGGGCGGTCAGAGGACAGGGAGGGTTGGATGGTTTGGAGGTTCTGGGGGTGTGGACAGGGATTGGGGCAGTAAGGGGACAAGGAGCAGGGGGGTGGGGTGTTGGATGGGTCGGGGGTTCTGAGGGGTCAGTCAGGGGGCAGGAACTGACTATTAATAATGGAAATACTCGAGGCCAAAGCAAGTTTGATGTAACGCAGTTTCACCTATAAACACGGTAAGATTTTTTGGCTTCCAAGGACCGCGTTATATCAGGTTAGAGGTGTATTTGAGTTATACAAATTTCTACTGAACAATATATACATTCATCTTTTTACCACATTTCTGTTATAACTGTATGAGAAATTAACATCTGAAACAGATTTCTAAGTTTTTCTCTCAAGAGAAAAAATCATTTAAATACTTTTATGTAACACAAAAAGATAAAAGTTAAAATACAACTGGAGATTAGTTGAAATCCACAAAAGCCAATATGCTAGTAACAATTAAAGCCCTGAGTCTTAATACACTTCTACTTGCCTAACTTTACAAATGAATGTGTTTAAGTTGCAGGATTGGGGCATAGTAGTTCAGAGTACTAGAACTTGGTATTTAGTTAAAAAGACAGACACATTCAACAGAAATATGGGACAATATGTGCGCAAAAAAAAGAGTGGACTAAACCATTTGCAAATTTGGGGCTTTACACGGACTGGCTAATACCATTATAAACACACTGTGAAAAACAGTGCAGTATGTATTACTTGCTATATGTCCAGTAACTGAACTAATGATTATGTCCTTTTAAAAGTAATTTCCCCCCTAAAGAATCAGGAACATTAATCTGATATACAGACAATGTTTTGGAATAGCTGTAGTGGCTTTTCTCTCAGAGTGTTAGCTTTATATAAACACTTCAGATTTAATTTAATTTTTTTTTAAGTTACAGGAATACTAGAAGGACCAAAAAAGCCAACAAGCTTCATTCTATTGCACCATTTTTCTATCTATATTGCTCTTTCCTTTAAGTGTTGAAAATTAGAAAGCAAATTCCACTTCTAGACAGACTTTGATCCAACAAGTTTCAGGTAACAGTGAAGAGCTAAGGGCAAAGTTACAAATCTCTGAAAATATGGTTTATAAAGACTAAGACACATTAAGATCACCAGTCTGAAAACAGGTCTATATTTCTACTCATCCCACATTATAAATATAAAGAAATATAAATTTTCATACATTTATTTAAGCCATCAGAATAAGTGTCAGAGAAACTAAGTAGCTTCCACAGGGTCTTCATTTACCTTCACAAATGTGTGGCTTATTTCCAGGTATCTTATTTGCTAGGAGTTCTCATCAAAAAGCTCAAATATAAACCAAAAGCCACCATACAAACACTTACCAGGACAAGACAGGTGTCTACCAATGAAAATGTGCCAGAGCGTCCTATCCCTGCACTACAGTGAATTATGGCAGGTCCATGTTCAGGACTCAGCGAACCAGATTCTCTGACTTTAAACAAGAAGTTGAGAAATGAAGCTGGGGACTCAGGGACTCCAAAATCTGGCCACGTAGTATAATGATAATGAGATATCATCCTGGACTCACCACTCTAAAAGTGAAAAAAAAATTTTTTTTTTTAAAAACAAAACAAAAGAAAACAAAAAAACGAACAAAAAGGATACCTCTGCTTTTGGAGAATTATTTGTTTGAGACTCATCCATCAGTAAAGGCCAATATTTTAAACCTCTCGGTCAGACAGACACAAACTGCTTGCTTAAAATTTGCACCCTTAGATTGTTCCCAACAAAAAGTTAACACTAGGACACTTCTTCCGGCACCAGGTCATTATTTGTGACCGACACCTTAGTTATATTTTGTTTGTCATTTTAAAAGCATTTAAGATATCTACACAGATCCCATTCCCCCAAACCCTGACATGACTAAAATACTAACAGCACTTCTCCCCTAAAACTTCCCTCTAACCACTACTAGTGGAGCTCAACTGATGCTCACAGCGAGAGCACCAGTATGGACAGGGACTGCCAGCAGCCCAGCAGACTGCCAGCATTTTAAGCTGCACATTGTTTATGCCTGCTCTGAGCTGTGTTTAAAGTGCCAGTAGCTGCTGGAACCTTGTCCATACTAGCATGGCCACTGACGGTAGCAACAGTGGGAAATTGTATGGAAAAGTCCTACTGTAGGCAGGGCTTAAAAAGGCCCATATGTCAGAAAACCTTAGATATCACTTCTGCTGGAGACACTCAACCTTGTTCCATATATAAGTGGATGGAAAGGCTATTTGTATTATGCAATGTTTTCCTCCTTCCTTGGCTGAGCTCTGTGCCAACACACCTCCCAACTGCATTAACCCCAGGGAGCTTCAGGAACCAGCTTTGACTACATTTCCACTAGACTCACTAAGACCTAGGTGTTCAAGCTACAGGGTTTTTTTTGTTTACTCTGGACGCAGTTTAATTATGGATATTTAGGATTTTGGAATCTCAAGAAATCACTCTCAGTACCAAGCATCTATTTTTCCAATACTTTTCCCTGAACTTCCCCAACGTTACCGACATCTTATTTCTAGGTTTCCTTTAAACGATAGCTAGACCTCTATACATAAAGTGAATGGTCAAAAAGATTTAATAAGATGCCATTAAAGCTGAAGTATTTTTCTTCAGGTCAATGACAAAATAAATTGTGTCCTGCAAAATGGAAACTAGAGAGATCCTCTCCTGGTCAGTCCATTGCAAGTTTCTATGAAGTGCAGATTTACTCGAAAGTAACTTGAAATAGCATTATTCAGTTCCTGTTTGTTGTGCTGCAGTAACATAACATTTGTTGTGAAAACTAGTTCTTCCAGTTACAGCTTTGGCCCTCATTTAGGGCCTGATGCTGCAAGGTTCGAGCACCCTCAACTTCCACAAAAGGCAGTGGACATTGAGCATGCCAAGTACCATAGAAGTGCAACTCAACCATCTTGTAATACACCTTGAAGGGGACAACAGAATCTTTGTAGTTTGTTCCGAAACAATATATACATTCACATATATTCTGTTGATGCACAAATCAGAATAAATAGAATATTCCTATTGGTACAGCAAAGCCAATACAAGCTCCAGCTCCTTCTCCCGAACTTGTATTGGCTTTCCTGTACCAACAGGAATATAGTACAGTAAAAATTAGTCTTTGTTCAAAGAGATTTGATTTTGAACACACAGAGTATATCTATTGAGTAAGGTGCCATTTTTCTACTGCCACTTTTCAGAGCAGAACTATAATCCAAGACCCCAGTCCTGTAATTCTTTGTGCACGGGTAGCCTGTGTGTCCATAAAGAGCCCCACATAAATCACCTGTAAGCAACAAAATTGCAGGTTAAAGGACTTAGGGCTTCCTGTGAAGGAATATTTTTGAGGCAAACAAACAATCACTAAGTTTACATTGTGTAAATATTATCTGCCATATAGGACTACATTTTTGAAACCTGAAATAGGTTTTTCTTCTGTAGGAATATAGTGATTTTTTTAAATCAATATTTGTATAAGGCAAAGGCTTAACACTAGTTTTATTTATGTTTTTAAAGCAAGCATTTTTACCAGTAAATTATCCCCAATATTTTGTATTTACCCAATATCCAAGGAGAAACAAAGCAATTAATTTTCCTGTTAATTTCTTACTTTTTATAAGTATACACACACACCCCCAAATTGACTAGAAAACAATTCACTGCTTGAAAGACAAAATGATCACTCAAAACAAGACATTTGCACATTTCCATTTCACAACTACAAATTGTTTTAGCTACCCAGGAAAACATTCCAGGGTAACCATTGGATACTTGGAGAAAAAATACCTTTAAAAACTATAAAAACGTATGAACACATTTTGAGTTTTTTAATTATTTCTCTTATTAGTAGGCTGGTGTAACATTCCACATCAGCTGTTAGACCTAGTTGTTGCCTTCTGGTCTTTTCATTTCTATCAACCTCTTTCTAGAATCTGTTAACAGCTTATCTATTAAGGCCATGCACTGGCTATTGTTATTGCTTCTGTGCATGCCACCAAAATCTGGGTGAGTTACTATGCTTCCTCTTGGCCCAGCTCTTAATCTTTATTTGATTTTAACAGTGCATCAGGGCAACTCTAATACTCCAGTTTCTATTCTGGGGTTGTACAGATCAGGGATTGGCAACATTTGGCTTGCTGCGTCCGCAGGTTCAGCCCATCGCGGCTCCCACTGGCTGCAGTTTGCCGCTCCAGGCCAATGGGGGCTGCGGGAAACGGCGCAGGCCAAGGGATGTGCTGGCCGCCGCTTCCCGCAGCCCCCATTGGCCTGGAGCAGCGAACCTCAGCCAGTGGGAGCTGCGATCGGCCGAACCTGCGGACATGGCAGATAAACAAACTGGCCCTCCCCGCCAGAGGACTTACCCTGGTGGGCTGCATGCCAAAGGTTGCCAATCCCTGGTATAAAGTATGAGATTACTTTTGGGGATATTGGAGGATAAATGGATTTATGGTTCATCCAAAAATTCTCTTTACATTGGTAAGTGGTCCAGTATCCTTTTAATTCTGGCTCAGTCTTTAAACACTTCCTCTAGATAGACTGACTGTACAACCTGTTGAATCACCTCTGTTTGTCACAACCGTTTCATGCAAGGCAAAACTGGCTCAAATGCAGTCCTCATCACTTTGCAACCCCAAACTTCTCAAGACTGTGTAAGATACACACTTGTTCTCACCTAACCTGTCCACAGGTTATCCCAACAACTATGTATGGGAGGGCAGAGATCTAGTCGAGGAAAACATATTTTATAACCCAGTTTCTAATCTTCAGAGAATTTTAGTTTCCTCACCAGCTTCAACAGATGACTGCATAGAAATACTGCTAGACCTGTAAGCTTCCTGTCTGATTAAGAGGTATATCTCTACAATTCATAAAAAAAACAAAAGAACAAAACAAAACAAAAAAAAACCTGCACAGTTAATCATGCAATCAGGCAACCAATATATTTACACACAAGGTTTAAACTCATCTCTTCAGTTCGTCCTCATGATTCTAAGGAATGGTAGGATGGAGAACAGCAAAATAAAGATAATGGATTTCAAGAAGGCAGACTTCAGCGAACTCAGGGAGTTGGTAGGTAAGATCCCATGGGAAGAAAGTCTAAGGGGAAAAACAACTGAAGACAGTGGGCACTTTTTCAGAGACATTATTTAAGGGCACAAGAGCAAACTATCCCACTGCGTAGCAAGGATAGAAAGTATGGCAAGAGATCACCCTGGCTTAACCAGGAGATCTTCAATGATCTAACAATCAAAAAAGAGGCCTACAGAAAGTGAAAACTACGTCAAATTACAAAGGATGAATATAAACAAATAACACAAGTATGCAGGGACAAAATCAGAAAGGCCAAGGCACAAAACGAGATCAAACCTAGCTAGAGACACAAAGGGTAACAAGAAAACATTCTACAAATACATTGGAAGCAAGAGGAAGACCAAGAACAGATAGGCCCATTACTCAATGAGGGGGGAAAAAAATAACAGAAAATGTGGAAATGGCAGAGGTGCTTAATGACTTTTGTTTCAGTTTTCACCACGAATGTTGGCGGTGATTGGATATCTAACATAGTGAATACCAGCAAAAATGAGGTAGGATCAGAAGATTCTAAAATAGGGAAAGAACACATTAAAAATGACAAACAAATCAGATGTCTTCAAGTCACCAGGGCCTGATGAAATGTGTTGTAGAATACTCAAGGAACTAACTGAGGTGATATCTGAGCCATTAGTGATTATCTTTGAAAAGTCATGGAAGACCGGAGAAATTCCAGGAGACTGGAAAAGGGAAAATATAATGCCAATCTATAAAAAGGGAAATAAGGACAAACCAGGGAATTACAGACGAGTCAGCTTAATTTCTGTACCCAGAAAGATAATGGAGCGAATAATTAAGGAATCAATTTGCAAATATCTAGAAGATAATAAGGCGATAAGTGACAGTCAGCATGGATTTGTCAAGAAAAAATCATGTCAAACCAACCGGATAGCTTTCTTTGACAGGATAACAAGCCTTGTGGATAGGGAGGAAGCAAGGAAGCAGCAGACATCGTATATCTTGACCTTAGTAAAGCTTTTGAGATGGTCTCGCATGACCTTCTAAACAAACAAACTACGGAAATGCAACCTAGATGGAGCTACTGTAAGGTGGGTACAAAATTGGTTGGAAAACCGTTCCCAGAAATTAGTTATCAGCAGTTCAGTCAAATTTTTGCTGATAGCTTTCTTTCAAACTTGTAAAGTTTGCGGACAATACCAAGCTGGGAGGTGTTGCAAGTGCTTTGGAGGATAGGATTAAAATTCAAAATGATCTGGACAAACTGGAGAAATGGTCTGAAGTAAATAGGATGAAATTCAGTAAGGACAAATGCGAAGTACTCCATTTAGGAAGGAGCAATCAGTTGTGCACATAAAAAAATGGGAAATGACTGCCTAGGAAGGAGCACTGCGGAAAGGGATCTTGGGGTCACAGTGGATCACAAGCTAAATATGAGTCAACAGTGTAACGCTGTTGCAAAAATGCTGAACATCATTCTGGGATATATTAG